AGTAGTTCTATATTATTACCGACTGAGATAGTTATAATTGTATACAGCGTCATCTAATGATTTGACTTTAAGGTAACTATTTATAGAACTCGAAGTGTTTTTACAGTATTAATGTTAATTGTCCAATAACTAGTGTCCGATAACTGTCTACTTTACCCTATACCATATTTATATTTATTTTATCGCGAATTCAAATTCAAATTAAAAAATTTTTATTGTGTAAAATTATTATATACATTAACAACTGTTATATATAAAATCTACATAATAAAAATAAAAGCAGTCGAATTAATCAATGCCTCTTGAAAAAAATATGCAATCGATCCTTAACATTTTAGGAATTTTTGAAAACTCGTCATTTTAATGAAATCTGACCCCATTTAATGGAAAGCCAGTGCTCATTATTTTTTACAAAATGGCGAATGCGCCGGGAACAAAAAGTGAAATCTTTATAAAAAAACCATTATTATTACAATTATAATTGAATCGGTGAGATTAAGAACAGTACAAGTCCAAAATTTAGTTATTTTATAAAATCATTTTTTTTTTAGTATAAAATGCATTTTTTGAGAATATTTTAACTATTTTATGAAATATAATACCATATTTTGCACAATAGTTGAACATTCTCACAAAAAAGCATTTTACTACATATAAAAATAATTTTATAAAATAATTTGTCAAAATTTTAAATTATGGACTTGAACTGTTCTTGAACTCACCTATTTAATTGTTATCCTTAATATAAATATACAAATAAATATTTAAAACATCACTATAAAATATCGTGAACAAAATTTTAATATGTAAAAAATGGGGCACTTCTTAAGGTGTTTCTGGAGTTCTGTGTTGTGTTGACAAAAATTTATATGCCAATTCTAAAAAAAAATTATCGATTTCTTATTGTCATATTATAAGATATGCGTTAGGTAATTAAATACATTTCCCATACAGCCAATGCAAATCTCCTAACGTGATATTGAAATATTAATGAATTATTTTTCCTGTATGCACTAATGCCTGTAGAAGTGCCATATAAATATTGGTCAACATTCACCGCACAGTTTGGCAATAATAAACTGTGACTGTGTCCAACCAAAATTATCAATCTGTCATTTGGTTTGATTTATTTGGTAACTAACATAATTTCGGTTGTAAAGTAAATTAAAAAAAAACAATTGTATTGTTATTTATCATAAATTATTTTTTTTATAATTAGACAATAATTATTAATCCTTGTACCTTTGTGCCTTTTATGGTTTTCTTATCATTGTATTCCGCTTTTCTCGAGACTTATTTTTGGTTTCCATGTATACCTTATTTAGTATATTTTTTAATCCTTTCGTTTTTACAACTCATTTTAAGATTTTAAATAAAAGCGAAAAGCATTACCATAGAAACCAGTTAACAGTTTTTTTTTGTAAATTTTTAAACCCTTCATCTGTTTGTTTTTTCTAGTTGTTTTTAGTATATGATTTTGTTTCGTCACCAAAAGGCAGATATCATGAGCGAATTCTAGATCTTCACATAGGATTTCGGTTTTCTTATCTTCTGTTCTTTTCGTAACCCTTCAGAAAGTTTTCCTTCATGTTCAATCTTTGCTCCCAAACGATTTTAACACAATATTTTTATATATATTTTTAATTGGTATGTTAGTAAAATACAAATTTAACAATCTATTAAAAAAAACCAAGCCCTGCTTCTCTGTAAAACGATCAAATTGCAAAATTGCAAACGTGATGAAACTGAAAACAGTCCTTCACGGACTGTCGAAACAAAATTAAAATTACAATCAGTGGCACACGCGGCCCGCCAAATCGCATTGTGCGTTAATAAAATAAATGTCAATAGCAGAGGAGAGCGGCGGTTGAGTTTCCAGATAGAAAGGAGGCGTTAGTTCGGCAACATTGTGCCCCGTTCAAAAGGTGTAATTCCGATGACAATCGGGGCCGATTAGCTCCCGCAGCGACCGGTTACAGATTTAATTAACAAATTAAATTAGAAATTAACTCGGTAACGGGGACAAAAGCAACGGCAAATCGGATTTTGCGCCCCGAATTCGAAGCGTACCCGCCCCTACACGACAAGTGCGTTCGATAGACGGTCACTGTTATTATTGAGTGGAAATTTACCAAATGAGCCTAGGAATTTTAACTTCCAAAGAAAATTAAAACTAGGCATTGGAAACTAATCTACCTATGAATCTCAAATCTTCAACATTATCATTTTCTCGTAAACTATAGTTATAATATAATATATATTTATAAAAAATTGATGAAAATTTTAGAGGGTGTTGAGAAATCAATGCATTGAGCAATAACCTTTTCATTATCGTGCCATTTGTTATTGTTGCTTATTTATTTCTTAATTTACGTTATTTTGTAATAAGTGGGGAATTCAATTATGTTGCTTACATTTAAAGTCTTGGTTGATGTACCTTTTGGTTAAAAATAAGGTAATATTTTGTAGTTTTTGGTTTATTTTACCCGTTTTACTCTTAAGTCAACTTAAACTATAATTAACTCTATATAATTATAATTTGCCAAATATGGTTATGTTACAGAGCAGGCCAAGTACTCGAGTACTTTTACTCGTATTTCAATTACGAGTACTTTCTTCTTTCATTTGAAATAATTATTAATCGTACTTACAAACCAAATTCAATGTTTTAAAGTCTGTTTTAAATTATTTTGTATAAACTTTTTTTTGTATAGTATGATATAATCTGAGGACCCTACAAATTAACCAAAACTGTGGTTAATTTACCAAAAAGTTATTAAATGTTAAACTAAACCAAAATATGTCTACAAAAATATCCATTTTCAAAGGTTAAAATTAGAAGTTAATATAACGTTATGTTACTTCTAAAATAAACTACTTTATGAGGGATATTTAGGTTAGAGTTTAAATTGACTATAAAGAAACCAAATATTTAACTAGGTACTTTGTAATCTTACCAAAGGTTTCTTTTATAAGTTAAATTATACTAAAAAATAACCTTTGAATTTATGTACCTTATAAGTAATATTACACGGAAAAAAATAATCGGTAGAGGCTACCGATTGGCAATCGGTAGCAGCTACCGATTGCCAGTCGGTAGACTCTACCGAAAAATCGGTAGACTCTACCGAAAAAATCGGTAGTCTCTACCGAAAAAAAATCGGTTCCCTCAACCGATTTTTATCGGTAGTAGCTACCGATTATTTTTCGGTAGAGTCTACCGATTTTTTCGGTAGAGTCTACTGATTTTTTCGGTAGCCGTAACCGAGAAAATCCGCATCGATGCGCTGTTAGAAAATTTAAAAAAATATATTAAATATCAGAAAGGTTTGATTGTTTTAGTTGAGATTGATGATAATAACGATCCAGTCTTCGGAAAAATTATTGAAATAGTCAGTGTAAATAATTGTATATATTTTCTCATGTTCTCGATTAAAACATTGTATTTTGATTAACACTATCATGCTTATTGCGTTGAAATTGATTATAAATCAAGTATGACAAAGAATAAGAGCAAATTACCAAATTTAGAACCTTGTTTATTAATACAAAAAAAATCTCTACTTTGTAGCCACCAGACATTTAATTTAATATTTATTTAGAATTGTAAAAAATTTAATAAAAATTACTCCTCATTTTTAATATTTTTGTATTTCAAATTTATTTATACCTCAAAAAAAAATACTATTTTCTATTTAATAAAAAGCGAGTATTTAACTTCTCGCTAAAAAAATACAAAAATTTTCAAAAATTGGTAATCCATTTTTTCGGTAGCCTGCACCGAAAAAATCGGTAGACTCTACCGAAAATAATCGGTAGCTGCTACCGATAAAAATCGGTTGAGGGAACCGATTTTTTTTCGGTAGAGACTACCGATTTTATCGGTAGAGTCTACCGACTTTTTCGGTAGAGTCTACCGATTGACAATCGGTAGCTGCTACCGATTGCCAATCGGTAGCCTCTACCGATTATTTTTTTCCGTGTACCAACTAGTTAAATATTTGGTTTATTTATGGTCAATTTAAACTCTAAAAATAACCTTATTTTATTTCAAGAGTTTAAATTTCTTTTATTAGTTAAATTATACTAAAAAAATAACCTTTCTACAAATTTACCAAAGCTGTGGTTAATTTACCAAAAAGTTATATTAAATGTTAAACTAAACCAAAATATGTCTAAAAAATAACCATTTTCAAAGGTTAAAATTAGAAGTTAATATAACGTTATGTTACTTCTAAAATAAACTACTTTTTGAGGGATATTTAGGAGAGTTTAAATTGACTATAAAGAAACCAAATATTTAACCTTTGAATTTACCTTATAAGTAATATTACCAACTAGTTAAATATTTGGTTTATTTATAGTCAATTTAAACTCTAAAAATAACCTTAACTTACCTACAGGGAAATTTATTTTATTTCATGAGTTTAAATTGACTAAAAAGAAACCAAATATTTAACTAGTTAGTAATATTACCAAAAGGTTTATTTTATTACTTAAATTATACTAAAAAATGACCTTTGAATTTTCCTTAAGGTTATAGCAACCGGTTGGTTATTTTTTAGTTCATAGTAACCTTTAAAAAATGTTAATGGTTAAATACAACTAATTGGTTTAAAAACAAGTTTAAAAAAACGTTATTTTACTTAGATTTTGGTTAATTTACTTAGAATTCTAGTTATTTAACCACTTATGCTACTTGGATGAAATTGCATAAAAGTGACTAAAATTCATTTAAAAAAAACTAATAAAGATATCATTATGAAATTTGAACACCACATTTTTGTGACATTAATCTTGATCCTGTATACAGGAAATTTGTATACAAATTTTAATTTAATTGGTTCACTGGCGGCGATTTTATACCGGTTTAAATATAAAACATTTGTAAAAGCAGAAATTCTGTTTGTAGAACAGGACAAAATCGACTTATTTTGCAAATTTGTTTCTACTTTTAATGTTAAAGGTCGTCGACTAACAAACATTTTTTCTTTTTCTAGGTGTGGTTTCAAAATAGGAGGGCCAAGTGGAGAAAAACGGAAAAATGCTGGGGCAGGAGTACCATCATGGCTGAATACGGTTTATATGGTGCAATGGTACGGCATTCCTTACCATTACCAGATACCATACTAAAAAGTGCCAAAGAAAATGAATGCGTCGCACCATGGCTTCTAGGTAATGATTGTATGTCTTTTTTTAAACAAATAGAGAATCAAAAAAAAATATAAATCCTTAAAACATTTTTTTTTCATTTTCTATACAATCGGTTGATAGTTTATGACATCACACATGATTTATGGAGATTGCATTTTGTTTACTTCAACTTTTGCCCGCTAATAGATATCAAATCTTGGCGCTAATAGCAATAAATCCACGTCCTATCCAAGCTTCCGTTAGATCAAGCTAGGTGGCGCACCAGTACAGCCATAAATTTCGCACTGTGGCCAAAACTTAAAAGTTGGATGGACAAAATTCGAGATTTTTTTAATAAGTTTTTCTTGGAAAGTGATTGTTGTGCTTCTCCGTATACTTTATAAAAAGTTCGTATTTCGAAAAACAATGTAGATTGTCAAATTTTGATGTGTTAAACTGTGATAATAAATAGTCCCAATTGCATACTTCTTTCTCATATATTATTAAGATATATTGTATAATTTTGGTCTTAAGCCTCTATCTCAGTGGGGGCCTTTAAATTTGCACTAAATATAGGGGTGATTCTACAAAAGTTGGGCAACTTGATGTCATCAGTCAATATAGTAGGTATTTTAATATTTTTTGTAAATATTTTAATGTATATTTTCAAAAGCACGTTTGTAGAAAAACATAATAAATATTCAAAACATCAGTACCTTGCCGTGTCCCAACTCCTGAATCAAATCAATTTATCTTAAATTTTTCAATTTCACTACAAAATATAAAACATTAAATAATGTATTTTTATATTTTATCATAGATTCGAATAATAGCAATTTTTAAAAAATTGATAATCTTTGTACTCACTTTTACCCGTCAGTTCTGTGTCCAATGTTAAAATTCAAAATTTCTCCGAAATATTGAAGTTTAAACGTCAAGTACTCGTTTTAACTCAAGTGTTGGTAAAACATTACCTACAGAGCCCGCCCTTTGCACGACAGTTATTTTGAAAACAATGCAAGCGGCGAAGTTGTGTTGAATGCACGTATAGTTCCAGTCAAAATTTCAGTACTGTGATGAGTAGTTATTTTCTTACGTATATATATTATATTGTAATTTATATAAGGCTATATTCTCAAATTTGTATCCCATTCATCAGTACCGTGTCGTCAGTTCCATGTTCGATGTTTCGTTTATCCTTTTTTCGCAAACTTCAATTTAAATTCTGCTTGCGCAGAACTTGTTTATTTAATGTCATTATAAACTCATATAAATTTGGTGTGGGTCCCATTTCTAATAATTGAGATATCGGTATACCCAAAATCCACCAGCCGCCACTGATGTGTGGTATTATTTGATTTTAAGATATTTAGTGTATAATATGCATAAAGTTGCAATAAATCTTATATTTTCCAATAAATTATGTTTTTAGTTAGTACCCTGGTATACTCGTCACTTCCCTTGCATTCAAATTTAGAAAACACAGATATTTCAGAAACTGTTTATTATATTATTTATGTTCTCATAACAAAATGCTGTTTAATTTTCTCCGAAAACTATATAAACAAAATGAGGTCAAAAGTTGCCCAACTTTTGTAGAATCACCCATAAAGCAAATAGCCTTGAAAAACACTCTATAATTTCATCAATTTTTCTTTCGTCTTCGAAGACTATTTTCCGCCAAAAACTTGGTTTTCGTCGACTGTGCGGGCAGTGGAAAGCGTTTCATGGCACGCTACGGAGTCTAGGCGGCGTTTGCTTCGTAGCCGATTTTCGTTTTCGTAGGCCGGCGTAGCTGACGCGCCGCGTGCATCGTCATCCGAGTTTCCGTCCTTATTTAACGACGTTTCCGTCCTTGCGCTAGCGAACGCGAAGCAAGCTTTGCAGTAGCGGCAGCTCTCGACTGTTTTCTTGGCTCGCCTCGTTTGTTTTGCGTAGCAGCAGCGGTCTTAGTAGGCGACTTTCACGTTTATGATACCCTGATTGCTAAAGGGTACAGTTAGTTCACTGATAGAAATAGAGAATGTTCTGAATACATACATAACTTTATTTTATATTATGTATATAAATATTATAATATATACAATAAATACCGCTAAATTAACTTTATCTACCTATTAAAATAATATTGTTTTATACATATAGAAAACTAAGAAATTGAATAAAGGCGTAGCATTTTTGACCGCATATATATAAATACAGGTTGTCTTAGGATTCCATCAAAAAATGTCAAGGGGTGATTCTAAATATGAGGTCAAAACTTCACCTATAGGTGTTATTTTAAATGCTCTTTTTGGAAAGTAAAGGATAAAACGGTTCTGTGTATTTATAGCAGCGTATTTGTAGCCAACTATTGCGATAACAATAATTATAATCGTTGTATTTAATTTGTCAAGTTTGTTTTTGATCAGAATAAAAAGTTTATAGGGCAGAGAATAGTTTTACAGTAGGTATGAACGGTATTTTTACAAATCCAAAAGACCAATTCTTTTTATAAGACAAAATTTTGTGTTTTTAGACCTTTTTACAAAATTACGGATTAAAATAATTATTTGTTCTTAAAAGTAAAGCCATAAAAACCATGTAAACAAAAAATACAATTCAGAAACAAAAAACTGCTTTACTATAATAAATATAATTTTTGACACCTGCGGTGAGTGCCATGTTGCCAATTTTTATTTGATTATGTTGAAATTTGAACACAACAAATTTAATACATGAGGCTAAATTTTTTTTTAAATTTCATTAAAATTGGACAAAAATTGTCCATGTTACAGCACTTTGAAATTGAAAATTGCCAAATTTGGCCAAAAAAACGATTTTATTTCGTTAAAAACGTAATTTTTGTTTAGTATAATTAAGAAAATATACGAATTTTAACCGAAAAACTATTAATTTTGTCGAAAATACGATTTTCAAAAAAAGAAAACAATTTATGATGTCATTTAATTTAAATTTAAAGGGTAAAGGTTAATCGTATTTGTAAATAATATTATTATGATAATAATTTTTCAGCGAACTTTACGAAAGAGGTGTTTTAAAAAAATTGTCAACATAATATTATGATGTTTAACTTTCGTAAGAATAATATAATTAAAAATAACATAAGTTTCTTTTGTTCTGCTCAGTTATCTGTTCTTTGTGAGTACATTTTATAGGTTTGAAATGTTTTTAAAGGAATACACAATCAAAATTTCAATGTTTTAGTAAAGTTTTTATAAAACCTTTTTTGTTTTAACCTTTTTATATGTTATTAATCCAACTGATTTTCTAAGCAAAATTATCAATCTGTCATTTTCGTCTAGAAGACCAGGCAACACTGTATTACGAACACATGATTGTCTAGGGATATTTGGTTTGATTTATTTGGTGACCAACATAATTTTGTTTTTAAAGTAAATTATTAAAAAAACACAATTATAATAATTTTTTCATTCGTTTCACAGAACATAATAAACATAAGATTTTAAATAACACTGCATATAGAAATGTCACTGCCACTGTCAAAAACGAAAAATCTCGCAATGTTGTTGGCCATTTGGAAAAGTTTGGTGCTTTTGTCAAATATATACTTAAAATTATTTAGCATTTAAAAATATAATCATCCATTATCACCCCACCCTTCTATTAACAAACTAAAATTTGCTTTAATAGACATATTTTGATGCTCTCTTCCTATGCAAAGGGCCACCGTTTTGTTATTTTTTAAACGGAGACCATGCATTTTTGAATATATTAAAGGAATAGTATAATTGTACGTAATCTGCATACAAATGAATTGAGCAATTGGAAATGCAGTCCGTCATATCAAAAACATAAATCAAAAACAGGAAGGGGCCCAAAATGCTACCTTGTGGAACACCCGAAGTTGTATTTTTTAAAAACGAGGTAGTTATAGTATCGAAAATATTTAATATTAGATTATTCATAACCAGCCTATCGGTTTTTGTGTATCGTGATAGTGACAAAACCTTATTTGAAAGATCTAAAGACTGTAAATGTCAAAGTTGACAAAAGTTAGTTTTCTTCTATATTTTGATACATTAATAATATTTTTACTATTTTAGATAGTCAAAAAATAAAAAAAACTAACTTTTGTCAACTTTGGCGCCCTCTATCCCAAATACTGAAAGTTTTGCCTGAAAAAAATATGTACAAAATTTCAAGCTTCAAATTCTTAAAACTTAAAACTTTTTTGTCCAAGCAATAGGAAAGCTTTTACAGCGTCAGGAACAAATTCAGCCAATTGCAACAAAAATATATTTTCTAAATGGACTAAAACTTTTTCGACAAAAGTGACTGGTACATAAATTGGTGGGCAAAAGTTTGCGAGTAAAATTTTATTTACCCACAAACTTTTTGCAGTGGTAAAATTAAGTACCATGAACATCTTATAGCTAAATATTGTAAAATAATATTTGTAATACTATAAACATCTAACATGTAGTATAAAATTTGTTTATAAACTTTTTATTTTTTAAATGTACAGCATTTTACACAAACAACTAATAAAAAAATTACATATTTACAAAAACAAGCGTAATTAAATTTAAATAGAAAACAAATTTAGTTTGAGTAGTACGAAAAATGCTTATAACAAATACGTTAAGGGAGAAAATCGTATTATTGAAAAAAATTGTTCGTTTTCTAAATCACATAAACATTATTTTGGTGTCTAACTCTTGTATCCTATATAAACAATTTCACAAGGACCCTAAGTACGAAACTTATTTGCACATTCAAAATAAATACTTCTGGACAAATTATTATTATTATTATTTATATAAAGTTCGTAAATTTTCTTTGCTAAGAATATTACAATTCAAAAATAAACCATCGAAATTTTGGTCGTTAAGTTTTTGGAATCTAACAAATCTAAAAAATATCATTTTTGAAAAAATATAGGTACCATTTTATAATCAAAAAATGAAATTTGCAGATTTTATTTAAAATTACTCTTTTCCTGAAAAGTTTTAAGTCCAAAATTTAAATTGTTTACCGGTAATTTTAAAAATCAATATTTAACTATTTTATAAAATATAATAACCATGTTTTCTACAATATTTGAAACATTCTCAAAAAATGCATTTTAAAATATAAAAATAATGTCAACATTTTTAAATTTTGAACTTGTACTGTTCTTGAACTAACCGATTCAAATAGAACATCCTTTAGCTAAAATTTGGACTTTGATGAATTAATTCATAACTTTTTCTAGAAAAAAAATTGTTGAGAATTTTTTTTTATGGATAACTTATTTACAGTCAATAGAATTGTAAAATTCTATTGACTGGTAATTACCCCCCCCAAGATAGAAGACCTAAGAAAAAAATTGCTACTACTCTTTGACAAAACTAAAGTCTAGTTAAATATTGATAAGGTTTTGGATCGTTTTGCAAAAATTAAAAAAAGACATTATAATTTTATAATTTGAATTTTATATTTAAAAAGATTACATGCATTCAGAAAATTGTTTAATAAATATAACAAAAAAAGTAGTAATAAAGTAAAGATCCCTATTCGTCCAACAATTGCTTTTGTTACGGCAAAAAGATCATTTTTATAAAAATTATTTATCTACAAACGCTGCTTTCAGTAATGGCATTTGAATTAATTATGTTTATAAAAATATCACTCTTCCAGATGCAGAAACGCATTGATAAATATAGTTATTATTATTTGTCCAAAAAAACAGTTCTATACCGTTTTCAAAAACGTTTTGTAGTATTAATGAAACCCTAATGGTATTATTCATAGAAATTTTGTAAGTTGTACAAATCCCCAAATAAAACTTTTTTAAAATATTAATAATTTTATGTAAATGTAACAACAAATTAATTGTTAATTCAATAAACTATTTTCATTGTAACAATGGTCACATTTTCAACCCACTGTTGGGTGTTGGGTAGTTTTTTTTTAAATATTTGCAAGGCATTAAAACAAATTATTTATTATAAAAATATAAATTACTCATATTGATGATACGCAATCACTTTTTAAACAACAAGTCTGCTTTCTTTATAGAATATATCTTAAATGTTTCTTTTAGAAAACGTCGTAATTTTAATTTTCTTAGTAATCTTTTTGATATATTTATCATGCTAAATTTTATCATACTTCACTCGCACAAGTGAAATCAATAAGATTATAACACAGACTGTGGATTATAAAGTTATGTTCACCAAGGAGAGCACTGGCCCTTTCCCCCTCTTTTTACGGGAAATAACAAAAATTTTGTTACCATTGCAAAACAATAGTAAATATTAAAAAAGTCTTTTTATAACAGTATTGTTCTTAACGTATACGTTATACGTTATAGCTTATAACCCCAGTAGCACAAAATATTGGTCCTATGGGGCGCATATATGCCCAATATTTTATCTGGGACCAATATTGGATTTATTTAGCCGATGTTGGCCCTATATTGGCATAAAATGGTTATTTAATATATCTTGCCAATGTTTATCCAATGTTGGTCCTATATTGGCATATCATTTTACGCCAATATATCATTAAACATATTTATCCAAAATCGGTCCATATTGGCATATCATTTTAAGCCAATATATCAATAAAAATATTTATCCAAGGTTGGTCCTATATTGGCATATCATTTTACGCCAATATATCATTAAAATATTTATTCAAGGTTGGCCCTATATTGGCGTAACATGATTATCCAATATATCATAGTATCAATGTTGGGTTTCAATATTGGACCAAGCTAGAAAAAATCTGACGAAAGATATGTTGGCCCAATATATAAAACGAATATTGGGCCAATATCTTTGTGCTACTGGGGAAGCTATTAACAAAGATTTTCTAACTGAAATAAAATTAATTTGAATTACAACGATAGTAATTTAAAAAAGACAAATATGGCATAGTATAATAAAAAAATTGTACCAGAACAATTGCGCATTACTTTATGTAAGCGCAATTCAGACACAACTATAGATTTAACGAAAACATTTTAAGTTCGACAAAGATTTAATATAAACATAAAGTATTTCTTATTGCCATGACAGGTGGTACATTTTTTTATATCCATTACGATTTTTTTTTCTGAGTGTACTTACTTAAAACATAATACGTATATGTTTATGTTTATGAGATATTTAGTTTTGGTACCTTATAATATAAAAGCAAATTAACAATAAGGAGTTTTGCAAAAATATTTTCCTTATATGCCCAGATAGCAAAAAGAAGTACTGGAAACGTCCCGAGTATATTTTGTATCAGACATTAGTAAGTCCCGAGTACGTCCGAATCAGGTCCTGAACCTTTCCCAGGACGTCCCATGGACATCCGATGTTACCAAATACTTTATTGGGGATTATTGGGCAAGCTCTACAGAATTGAAGAGTGGTATTCCCAAAGGGTGTGACAAAAATAAAATTGTGAGTTATCAATGAAAAACAAATATTTTGAACATGTTGGAATATTTTTTAAGTCATTCTACATGACACAAACTATTTTTAAATGATAATATATTATTTAGCCAACTTGACACTTAGACCCTTTGGAAATACCATGCTTTAATTTCTAAAAAAAAATAAAATTACGTCCTTGGGACGTACCGAGTAAATCCGCTTTAATTTTCCCAAATAAGTAAGAGACTGGACGTACCCAAAACTTCCGATATAGGTCTGGGACGTTCGGACCTATGTGGAACCCGAAATGGACGTCCTGGGTACGTCTTGTGCTATCTGTAACCCCCCAAAAAAAAGAAAAAATTATCGACGCTCTTGGTTGTCATAAACTATCAACCCCATCGGCACCGTACCCCCCAATAACCCCATAATTTCAACTATACATTTGCAGGAATGCACCGAAAATCCATAGAGGCGGCCGAGCATCTGAAGGACACCGACGGCAACTCGGACCACGAGGAGACGACCTCGATGCGTACGGACGCGAGCGACACGAGCGCCTCCAGCAGCCAGCCCCCGAACAACAACAACCCCAACCCCGCTGCTGGCGGCGACAAGGAGCAGCAGCCGGCGGCCGCGATGGCGAACGGCGGCGGCGGCGGCGGCAACCCCGCCCAGTACCCCGCGGAGGACCCCGAGGCGTTCCGGAACAACTCCATAGCCTGCTTGAGGGCCAAGGCGCAGGAGCACAGCGCCAAGCTGCTCAACCACAACTTGATGCTGCACGTGAGGCCCATGACGCAGAACTGCGACGCGAACGCGAACAACCTGCACCATCCGGCGGAGGTAAGTCCCGACGCGCAGTCCGCATCGATGTTTTGACAGGACAATTCCTAACTTCGCGGGGCTATCGCTTCCGGGTTTTTCAGTTTTTGATGCACAAAATTAAGGGTCTATTCGAAGCAACGAAATTCCGTTCGGGTTTTTTTCGTCTCCACATCGAAAATAGTCTTTTTGGGGCTCGTTTTCCGTTTTTTGGAATCTAACAAAATCTTTATTTTTATTCGACAAAACCTTTACATATAGTCGCGGCCAAATCTACAAGGGTGCAAGTCATCAACTGCATATGACGTCAGCGTTAAGGTCTATTCATACGTGCCCAGGCCAGTGATGTAACCGATACATTTTTTCCAGATACATATCTAAGTTACTTCCAGATGCTATCTGTTAAATGACAAAGAAAAAAATTGTTTGGAGCTTATAACGCAATAGATATTTATGAAACAAGCTTGTAAACTATAAAATAGATGTCCAATGGACATTTATATACCCAAAGGTTATTCAATGGATTTCCTTGATATCCATAGAGTATATCCATTGGATACCCATTGGATGTAAAATGTACAATGTAAAAATTAGTGAATGGTTTTATTTTCATAATTTGATAAAAAAACGTTTTTAAACAGGAAAATTGTTACAGTTCTTAGTAAACAATACGTAAATGATTGATATTTTTTTATCACATCAGAATTACGCCTTAAAAAACAAATTTAACGGCAGTAATTTAACCATTCAAAGTTGGTAATCGCATTGATGACGTGCACCCATACGACTATACACCATTTTTTATTTTCTAGAAAACACTATATATTATAATAATCAAAAATTATTGTCTTATGTGCTATTATCATATATTATAATACAGAATGGGGATGTTATTTTAAGTAAGTTTTTTTTTAATTTAATATCTACAATTTTTAAATCCGGACATAAATAACGAAGAATACTCTCTAAAGGTGAAACAGTGAAATTTTCACTATTTCCGTCAGTGAGTTATTATTCACTGTAAAATTAGTGTTTTTCAATATAAATTAGTGAAATTTTAACTTCTCCAAATTAGTGTTTTTTATTATCACTACTTTTCCGAAACTCTCGACATAAAAGGTGAAATTTTATTTTTTTTGAACTAAACCTATTTTACTAATTTGTACAGTGTAATTTCCACTAAATAAAATAGTGCAAAGAAATCGCTACATGAAAAAGTGAGTATTCACTAATTGCTAGTGGTATACTTATCACTGCGGCAAATAGTTAATATGCACTGTCAATCAGTGAAAATCCACTGTTTCATTTTTGGAGAGTAGAAACACCCTGTATAGTACATACATTCAATCTTTATTTTGACATCGAAAAAATTCTGGACTGGATGAATTTTGGATGAGGTATTTCTGACGGTCTAGAAGGTGGAATGCCGAATTCCTGTGTCCCCCCTTTTTGAAGGAAAAAAAATCGTTTTATCTCGTTTCCTATTGGTCGAACCAAAAAACTTTTGAAACAAAAGGTAGAGGGCGCCAAGATTAACAAAAATGAGTTTTGACCCTCTTAAATTGATTAAAACTAAAAATGTGAAACAAAAAAGTTGTATATCTCAAAAATATTAAAATATATAAAAGAAATGCTTGTTAAAGGTCTACATTTTTTGTTTTTCACTTTTTTTGTCCAACCAATATTAAACAAGATAAAAAAATTCAAACTTAAAAAGGGGGGATCACATGAATTTGTCATTTTACCTTTTATCTACAGATTTCGACGGTAGTTTTCGAGCTTAAATATTAAAAAAAAAAAAACTTGGCAACGCTGTGATAAGCTGAAATCAAAAGTTTCTGAAAGATTGTTTAAAAAATATTAAACATTTTTTTCTTAAAAAAAATTTTAGCTTACTTTTAAGTATACCTATATAAAATATTCAAAAAAATCTAAATAACTATAACTCCTAGAATTTGAGATACCACCACCATCTTTTGTTTTTCCTTTGGTTGCCATATTTGAACTTTACATGGGTAGATAAGAACATAAAAAATCCAACGATGTATCAAACTACATAAGTTATGTCGGCCATTATAAAAAAACAAAAAAAAAAGATGCTGATGGTAACTCAAAACATTGTAGCGAAAAAATTGGATGAAAATGTAGATTAAGTTGTAAGTTTACAACAAAAACTTACATTTTTAAAAATTCACAGATATAACAAAGCTTTAACGATTTTTGTTTTGAAAGGTTTTTAGTTTATTTCAAATATTTTTAAAATTTTAAAAAATTTTAATATTTTAAAAAATTTTAATATTTTAAAAACTAGTGGCAATATGAAAAAATCCCAAAATACGTTTTGACACCCTGTATATAATACTAAACTAATGTGTTTGTTTTATTATTTTTCCCATAAATTTTTAATAAAAATGTTTTAAAAGTTTTTAACCATTTTTAAAATTCTTAAAACGGTTTTAAGAATTTTATTTAATAAGAATTTAATAAAACCACATACCTATCGTAGAATTAGAAAAAAGGTTTATATATTTATATATAGTATTTTTTTAAGTAAAAAATAAACGATTATTTTAACATTAATTTTTTAATAGAAAAATGTTAGCTAATCTATTTTATTTGTACTGTTTCCATAACAACCGCTATTAATTGTGGATTTCAACGTTGACAAGGTTTACTTAAAAATTACTTTTCAGGAAGAATTAACATCTGCATTATATATTATATTATCAAATGGTATATTTTTTCCAAAATTATCTTTTTTGGATTTGTTAGATTCCAAAAACATAACGACCAAAATTTCGATGGTTTATTTTTGTAGTGCAATATTCTTAGTAAAGAAAATTTACGAACTTTATATAAATATAAATAATAGTAATAATAATAATTTGTACAGAAGTATTTATTTTGAATGTGCAAATAAGTTTCGTACTTAGGGTCCTTGTGAAATTGTTTATATAGGATACAAGAGTTACACACCAAAATAATGTTTATGTGATTTAGGGAACGAACAATTTTTTTCAATAATACGATTTTCTCCCTTAACCTATTTGTTATAAGCATTTTTCGTACTACCCAAACTAAATTTGTATTCTATTTAAATTTAATTACGCTTGTTTTTGTAAATATGTAATTTTTTTATTAGTTGTTTGTGTAAAATGCTGTACATTTCAAAAATAAAAAGTTTATAAACAAATTTCATACTACATGTTAGATGTTTATAGTATTACAAATATTATTTTACAATATCTAGCTATAAGATGTTCATGGTACTTAATTTTACCACTGCAAAAAGTTTGTGGGTATATAATAAAATTTTACTCGCAAACTTTTGCCCACCAATTTATGTACCAGTCACTTTTGTCAAAAAAGTTTTAGTCCATTTCGAAAATATACTTTTGTTGAAATTGGCTGGATATTGCTTGGGTAAAAAAAGTTTTAAGACAAAACATGTGGAGCTTGAAATTTTTAACATATTTTTTTAGGCAAAACTTTCTGTATTTGGTCCTTTAAAAGATAGAGTTGACAAAAATTAGTTTTTTTATCTAAAATTGTTTAAAGTTGTAGATCCAAAAAATTTTAATAATGTTTAAAAATATAGAAAAAAACTAACTTTTGTCAACTTTGACGCCCTCTTTTGAGGAACTAAGTACAGAAATTTTTGCCTATAACAATAATTAACAATTAATTAATTAATTAATAATTAACAATTATTGTTGAAAATTTAAAGATCTACATTTTTTGTTTTAAAACTTTTTTGTTTGACCAATAGGAAACGGGAACTTGACATTTTTTTTTACCCCTTAAACTACTACATAATCACAATAATTCTGGTTTGCCTCATACATGGTGTTTTTAAATTTCATCCAAAAAATTTAAGGGGTGATACAAGTTTTAGCTCAATTGATTTTTTTAATCCCTCACACCAGAAAATCCCCTAAAAGTACTTTTAATCTGGAAATGTCAAATTTAGGGAATTAAAAAAAATATATTTAACACAAAGTGACTGGTCGACTTGCCATATCACATAACCAAAAAACCAAAACTTGTTCCTGTTTTTTTCAAAATCATATTTCTATAACTCTATAGACATATGCTCAAAATGATGTTCATCCTTTTTCTGGTGTTTTTGGTTGTTTGGGGTTGGTAAGAGCAAACACTGGTATCAAAAATGAACTTGTTTTAGGTATTTTGAAAATTGTCAAATTTTGTCAAATGCACTTTCTCTTGTTTAACATGCAATAAATAAAACAAAAGAAATTTAAATATCCTTGATGAATGTACATAATAAAATATTTCTGGCCTAACTTTAAATCAAAAAAAGTTGTGTGATATTAAATATTAAAGAATATACCTACAAAATATTTTTTTTTCGAACATTCTATAACCAACTAAAAAGTTCATTTTTGGCACCAGTGTGTCAAACTTTAGTCTTTAAGTACAAGTGCAAACAAAATGTTACATAATTTTAGTGCTAGGCTCTTAGACGTATCCGACTGTAGACGAAATGAAAATAAAAAACAATTAAAAAATCTCGTATTGTACTTATTGTATTACTACTGCAGCAATTTTCTGTATTGCAACCGATACCATGTAACACAGTGTATAAAAATTCATTCAAAAAGAAATAAAGTATATAACTGGTCATCTGTGTTTTCTTTATGTCTCCCATCAGAACCCTAGTGTCTATCTACTAGCAAATGGTCCAAGGATCTAGAGATAAGAACAAACCTTAGACCAGTTTTAGTTTAAACGAAAGCTTTAAATAATTATCTAGTTAAGGAGTTATATAAGGTAAGTTTTTTAATTGAGATTATCAAAAAGTATTTAAGAAATAAAATTATAATATAGTTATTTGTTTTACGAGTGTTGAAAAGCGACTTTTTCATGCGAGTGTTTTAGTTGCTCACAAGGCCGTTAGGCCGAGTGTGCATTAACACGAGCTTGAAGAAAGCTTTTCTCACAAGTGAAACAATGTTTTTTTCTACGACCCTTTTATTTTTTATTATTGTCAAATACAAAAAAAATAACCTTCACACAGAAATGCCAATGAAAAGATTCATTTGCTATTACGAAATGTGACTTTTACATAGTGGTCGTAGAAATTTTTTTTAGCATAATATAGTATATTATAGCATATTATAGTATATTACTTAAAATATGCATAAAAAAAAAACAAAAAATCCAATATCAGAAATTTAAAAATAATACAACGAATTAAGTTCCACGAAATCAAGAAGAAAAGCCATAAATAGTTATAACTATTTATGGCTTTTCTTCTTGATTTCGTGGAACTTAATTCGTTGTATTATTTTTAAATTTCTGATATTGGATTTTTTGTTTTTTTTTTATGCATATTTTAAGTAATATACTATAATATGCTATAATATACTATATTATGCTAAAAAAAATTTCTACGACCACTATGTAAAAGTCACATTTCGTAATAGCAAATGAATCTTTTCATTGGCATTTCTGTGTGAAGGTTATTTTTTTTGTATTTGACAATAATAAAAAATAAAAGGGTCGTAGAAAAAAACATTGTTTCACTTGTGAGAAAAGCTTTCTTCAAGCTCGTGTTAATGCACACTCGGCCTAACGGCCTTGTGAGCAACTAAAACACTCGCATGAAAAAGTCGCTTTTCATAATTATAATTATGTCATAAGGCCACTTCTCAACATTAATTATAAAAATAACAATTATTAAAAGTATTAAGTCAGTTTTTACAGACTAGGACGTATAAAAACTTTATCTGATTGGTCTAAATTATTTTTACAGCCTAGGATTTATTTCAAACTTTGACCTACGAAAAAAACATAAAAAACCTTTTTTGTGGAGCTATTTTTTCATGTCATTAAAATGTAATTTAGGGTTAAACATCGATTTTTGTAAAATTGTTTTTAAACTGCAAACAAAAAAATTAGATGATGCCCAAGAAAAAAAAGTGAAGTTAAACCCGTCTGACAGATGTCAGATTGGTTAAAAGTAAGGTTAAAACCACTTGACTGTATAACTGTTGTTGGATAAAATGTCAAATAAAATTGACTAAATTTTTGTTTAACGGCATTTTCTACTAGAACAATTCATCCTGCGTCTATCCCCGGTACTCAAAAAACCGTATATATATAGATGTCAGATGGGGAAAAACAAATGTCAAATAAAATTGGCTTTAAATTATGCACGAGCATAGCTTGGAGATCGAGTTTTTAATAAACGACGGCCACATAAAAAATATATATACAATATTGTAATGAATAAAATATGTGCTCTGATTTTTTCTTGTGAAATCAAAGTAGGTATTAATTTATTACATTTTTACATTATAATCAGTAATTAAGATAAATATTGTAATTGTAATTATTGTATTTGAAAAATTCATATTCCTTGAATAAAGTTTGTAAATAATGAATTTTTATATATAGGTAATATAAAATCAAAAACAAATAGTAAATTAATTTTTGGAATATTTACAAAAAAAGTAGTTAGTTATTCTAAAAACTTGGCAATATTCGTAAAATAAATGAAATCCTATTTTTATAAATCACAGTTGCAATACATTTTTTACTTTACAAACACATTTTTTCTTTAAAAACAATTTTTTTGTATGAGGGGTTGCAGGAGACTTCAACGATAAAAGAAACAAAAAGTCCTTAGCCTCGTATGATTCTAACCCAACCAAAATAAATAAATAAAAACTAAATCTAATTAAAATTGCATTAACAAAGAATTTTCAATTAACATTCCAGAAGTTCTATTTTTTTTCATCGTTACACTTCTTTATGCGTGAATTAAAAGTAATCCCACAAAATAATAAAATAAATTAAAATTTTAATTATGTACTATAAGCCGTCGTTATCAGTCGCCAAGTGACGTAGGTAACAAAAATTGTTAATAACAAAAAATTGTTCAGTGGTTAATCACCCAACAGCCATTTTGCTGGGCCCCAACATAAAACAATATCTACATATACTTAATAATAACACAATAAAAAATGTACCTTATAGGACAATTTTCATTTGAACAATAAAGACAATAAAGTAGAAAGATGAAGGTAAAAATTCAGTACATTTTATTAAAATCGTGTGCAGGAGTTAAAATAAGCTCCGCGATGCAGGAACGCTTTGTTTTGCAGCAAAAAAACAACGGAAACGCTCAAGAACGAAGGATATTTTTGTAACAATCTCTGTGACACGTCACAGTCGTCGTAGCTCGTAGGATTGCAAGAAAGTTGAAGGCTACGAATCCCAAAAACAATCAAGGTCGCAAAAGTGGCGTGCGGCAGTTTTTGTAGGGTTTTTCGCTCGAATTTGGGGGATTTTTGGTTGTTTTTGACGAAAAATGTTGTTAATCGTCGCGCCTGGCGGCCGAGCCGTGAATTAGAGGCATTCCTGACCGAAAGAACACGTCCCTATCTCGCTGAACATGACAAGCTAAAATAATTCTAATAGTTGCTGTGTCCGACATAATTATAGCATTTGTTTTGCGCGATTCCGGCGTTATTGTCGCGATTTTTTCGAACATAACCGCGTATTCCGGTCGGGGGTGCTTAATAGTCGACGAATCGTCGCAAAATTCGCCTTAAAAACTCGAAAATCGTTGGATTTTATGTAATTTACTAGTCGGCCTATTGCAAACATGTGTTTCGTGTCGCGATCGTGCGCGGTCGGCGTCACTCGGTTCCGTGATTGAATAAGTATCTCTGGTACGTGCTTTCGGTAAAATAAAATAACCAAAGGCGACGCATTTTATCATAGGTGGCGTTGTGCTAGAAGATTCAGGGTAAGTAACAAACCCTTGTCGATGTTTTTTTCGTTATTACGGCTTGTTCGACGTGCAATCGGTGCACTTTTTTCGTTGTTTGTGTGCGACAGTGCCAGTGCCCAGCGAAAATGGCCTGAAAGTGAGTTATTTCGCCCGTCTTACCGTTATTAAACAGTGTTTTTCAATTGTTTAACAGGTCATTGCTTTGTTTATGAGTTGTCGTTTCAGCCTCTAACCGCGACGCCTCTTATCGCAGCCTGCTACTATTCTTACACGCATACGATTCTGTGGCTGTGTTCTGTCAAAATTTACGTGGTGCTCCGGCCTATCTACAGGAGGCTCCGGTCGAGGTGGGGAGCCCCATTTAACGTCATGCGGGCAGCTACGATCAACAACACGCTGCCGTAGACCGAAATTCTTTCGCCACCGCGTAGCACTTTTATTTCGAGACGGCTCAGGGGTGATTTTATCACGCCTCGACGCGATTTACTCAGCGTTTCATAACCTCAATCTCGGAGGTCCCGTCGATTCCGTGAGTTTTAGCAACAATTCCGGTTTTTATTTAATCGATAGTTTTACGTAACTGAATCGGGGCGAGTTTTAGGTTAAATAGTTCGATTTTATTTGTATTTTGACGACAGTACAGTCGTTCCAAATAATCAGCAGCTGTGGCATAGGGGTGTTATTTATTGCTGTCATTTATTTTGGTGCTGTCAAAATCCTGATTTTACTTCTTTGAAAAATCCGATTTTTCTACGAAGTTACGGTTTATACCGAGTCTTTTTTACGATGTGAGCTTTAAATATATTAATTCTAGAAATTTCTGGTTTCAACAAATTTAATATTCCTACAAACGTTTATTTTAATTTATATATAATAATATAATATTGTTTTTATCAACAATAGGGTTGTGATGGGGACAAATTTAACATTTTTTTTTAAATAATACACTGTGTTTGTTTCTCAGTTGCAAACAAAATAAAAAGGGGTTAAATTTAAATAATAACATCTAGCATTTTTTATTTTTAGTGTTTTGATGTTTTTAGTGCCTTATTTTTTAAAAACTGCCCTATTAGGTATTTGGCCAGTTTTAAAATACAAAATGTACAAAAATTTCATTAAATTCACACTAAAGCCATTTTTTTTTAAATTTTTTAATATACCAGGTGTCACATCTAAGACAAATCAAATTTTCAAGCCATTTATATAAATTTACAATTTTACAAATATAATAAATGAAACGCGTACATTGGACTTTGGGCTAGGGGCTAAGATGTATTTTATTTCCATTAAATATTATTTCTTATGAGTAAGCTCTTCAGTAAACTATGACTAATCATATTTCTCGTAATTAAAAATCAAATTTGTTTAAAAAATAAAATGAAATTTGTATCGCAAATTTAATTAATGGAGTTTAAATATCAAAGATTGCAACATTTAACTAATAAATAAAATTTAATTCAGTTGCTAAACCTCAGTACTTACTTGTACCTGTAAATGCAAATTATTAAACTTTTAGTGACGCGTTAATACGGCAAATAAATAAATTTACCTAGATAGTAGACGTAGAAACTATTACCTTAATTGATTTATAATGTTGTGCAAATAATTTATTTTCAGCATTTAATTATTTTAATTTTAATTATTATGATAGGTATGTTTTTGCTGAAAATAAACCATGTTAAACTTATCTTTGTATGTCTTGGAGCTTATCTTTGTGTAATTGCAAAATAAGAGAAGCACAATATATGTATGTATTCAATACCTAACAATTGTTTTTAGTTGATTTGAGCTCAATTAGTCATATCATTAATTATTTTTTTTTAGAAAATCGAAAATATAATAACCGTTTCAGTACTATTATGAAGCATCGAAATTAGGGATTTTTTATTTGAGACTGTTGGCAACCCTTTTAATTTTCATGTCAACGGTACTGTTAAAAACTCGTTTTTCTGGTTTTGTTTATCAAAATTATATTATTAAATGTGAATTAAATCATTAGAAGAAAATGTTAACTGTGTCTGGGTCTTAAAAGCATTGAAATAGACAAAACAAAATTTGACGTTTTATTTTGACTGATATCAAATATTTAATTTTGACATTTTGCTTCACGTTACTTGTGCCAACCTAGTAAAATAAATTAAACAACTTTTTAAGTTTTATTTAATTTTATTGATCGAAATAGGCAAAATAGTATTAAAAACTCGTGTTACAAGGACTTATTGTGATCTTAATGCTGATTTTAATAAAAATTATCGTACATGTTTCCAAGACACACCTTTTAAATACACATTGACATGTTGTGGCTTTATAGCACTTTAGTCAAGGGCTGAAGTTAGCAACAAGTTTTTAGTCACGGGCTGAAGTTAGTTTTAAGTTGGTTGACACTTGTCAAATGTCATACAATCATTAAAATAAACTGATTTTCTTGTAAAATAATACTAAATGTGAACATTATTTTATTATCTCAATAAATAGTTGAAAAGATTATATGAACATTTGTAATAAACTTTTGATTTCGCAGTAGTAATGCAGTTAACTGGATTTAACTACAGTGCCCATAAAACAATTTTTTTTACTGTAAAAAAACTGCTTCTATATTGATTGTTAGTTAGTCTATTTTCAGGGATAATTTATAATTTATACAGAAAAATTTGAGATTTTAACGCCGGTAGATACCAAAGTTGGAAATTCTAACGGGAATTCCAATAAATACAACTGTCACTTTTTGTACCTTTATCATTTCCCGTGTAAGAATTTGTAATACTTTGTGATAATATTTTGCAATTATAGTAATAAAAATTAAAGGAAAAAATATTTTCTGAGCATAATCATATTTCGAAGTTTTTTTAATATTTTAAAGTATTAATAATTGTTAATTTAATTAAATTATACCAATATTGGCATATGTTAATAGTGAAAATTATCATTTTTTTAGATAATATTAAATATTTGTCGTAGAAAAAGTATAGTATGCTACTCGTTTATAAATTAAATTCATGACTAAAATGGTGTTTATTAAACTTGATACATAATATACTATTGTTATAAGGGTTGTATTTTTGTACTTAAAAAAACTTTTGAAATGTTTTAATTCTTTGGCGTAAAAAAAATCCACATGCAAATAATTTATCGAAACTTGTAGGAAAAATTAGAATATGTTTTAAAAAAGTTTTTAAATACAATTAATAAAGTTTTGATCAAAAATTTGGAAAATTTTGTCTTACCGTTCTCTACCAGCCCTTCTGGGAAAAACTGAAACTAGATGCACCTGTCAATAGGGTTGCAACTTTTCATGAAAAGTTGAAATTTTTGAAAAGTTGGGTTTTATTTTTCGGAAAAGTTCGGAAAAGATGGAAAAGTTGAGTTTTTTGTAATGTAAACGTATAAAACATAAATAATGCTTGTCAATATCAAAAAAAAATAACAAACAAAATAAAATGAACAGACAACATAATCACAACAAAAATAAACTAGGTTTGAGTTAAAAAAATCATATTTTTTAAGTAAAAAAAATAGAAATTTATACACACCCTAAAAAACTCATACGAAATAAAAAATAATTACAAAAAAATATGAAGCAAAAATTATTAACTTTATTGTTGTTAAAAATTATGGAAATTTACAAGTAAAAATTTAAAAAGAAAAACAATCTTTATTTAATAGAAAATGCTGTTAGCAGACACCATTTTTGATAAAGTTTGACAGAATGTTATTCCAAAAAACAATGATTTTAGCACGTTTTAGTAAAAACACTTCAAATCTAGCGATTTTTATCGAATTTTGACCAAATTATCTACCAAAAAAATGTATGTTAGTGGAAACACTGGTTACAAGTCAACTCATTGTTCATTGGCTCCTACCTAATAACTTTTCCAAACAAAACTTAAGCCTTTTTCTCTCTTTCCAGAGTAACATCAATCTTACCAAATGCTATGGCAACCAGGGAAAAGAAAACGCCAATCAACAGCAAGAAACAGACGCTAAACAAGCAGCAGGAAATGCCATGCGACACCTCGACGGAAAATGAGAAAAAAACGGCGAAATCCGGGCCTGCGAAGGTGCCCATCGCTAAGAAGCTGGCGGGGAAGGCGGCGCCCAAACGGGTGGTGAAAAAGCCGGGCATCCGCATCAAAATGAAAGCGAAAGCGAAACAGACTGCGCCTTTGAACAGAAAGTTGACGAAGAAGTTACTTAAAAGTGCGAAGAGTATCGAGGGCGCCAAAAAACTACTTAACGGGGCGACGGAGGTGAAGAAACCGGGAAGGAAGAAGGCTGTGGAAACGGCCACCACTGAAGGACCAAAGAAGAAACTGACTAAGAAGGCGTTGAAGAACGCCGGGTTGGGATTAAAGAAAAGCGAGGCCGACGATACGGCTTCGAATATAAGCGACAAAACCGATATTTCAGCCACTGAAAGGCCTGCATCCAGAGCACGCGGCAAAAAAACAAAACCTGACTTGGCCGAAACTGAAGATATCGATATATCTTTTCTGGAGAAAGAAGTCAAAAAGGAAGTGGACTGCGTGTCGGATTCTGGCAAGAGCGACTCTTCGAAACCAAAAAGATTGACTAAAAAGCAAAAGTTAGAATTAGCCCAGAAGGACGTGAAAAAAGAAGACTTAACAATCAATTCATCTGTAATAGACATGCTAGATTTAAGCGTTACAAAAACTAGTACCAAAGCCGTGCAGCAACGTCGACATAGTATTGAAAAATTCCCTATTGGACCCATAGAAACTTTAGAGCAATCGCAAGGGATTTTCGCTCAGCTTCCTAGAAGTATGAGCCCTAGAGCTAGACGTAACACGAAAATAAGACAGAGCATAGACGGTCTTAAGCGATCCAGCCCCTACACGACCCGATCCGACTCCCCTGCTAGAATGCTTCGCAACGGAAAGCAAAGAAAACTCAAAGACCTCAACTTAATGGAAGGTCTAGACTCCGACAGAAAAGACAGGAAACGCCGACGACTGTGCTCCGACCTATCCGGTAGCGAAATGTCGGTCTCAAAACTGTCGGGCTACGAGTCGGATAGCAGCTTCAGCGATTTAGCTTCCCTGACGGGAACTGAAGCAGGAGATATCAAAGACGTCGACATCAAACCTAATATTACCGAAGAACCTGCTGTCGTTAAAAGAAGCCTTTCTTCTGAGGTGGCCGCTCAAGACGCGATCAGTGATTCCGATAATATTTTTAACGAAAGCAATTCGGTCGATATTAACTTGAACGATAAAAAAATTAAATTGGAAGTTAAGGAAGAAAACGTGGCTTCAAAACCAAGCATTAAACTACCCGAAAAAACATTTCTTCTCGATATAATGAAGCAAACATTCAACAACGAAGTTGACAAGGCTAAAAATGAAGTAAAACAACAACCAAAAGATATTATAGAATTAGATTCCACCGATAAAGAAAATTTTGAAGAAACAGTCAATACTAAAGATCCCAACGAGAATGAACAAATGCCTCAAGAACAACAAACAGTTGAGGAAGAAACCACGGAGGAAAAACCTGAAGAAAACATTGCTGTAGACAATGAAGAAAAAGTGCAAACTGAAGAACCTGAAGTTCATTATGTAGATGATGAAATGGAGCAGCTTACCGCTGAACTAACCCAAATGATAAACGGGAATAATAAAGTTGAAAATAAAGCAGACAATGAAGAAAAAGGTGTCGAAAATGAAGAAAAAGGCGTCGAAGAACCCGAGGATAAGGAAGAAGTAGAGGAAGATTTAGAAGAAAATGAAGAGATCGATGAAGAACATACAGAAATCGATGAAGAACATAAAGAAATCGATGAAGAACATAAAGAAATCGATGAAGAAAATAAGGAAATTGTAGAAGAAAATGAAAATAACGATGAAGAAAACAAAGAAATCGATGAAGAAAACAAAGAACATGCGGAAATCGAAGAAGAAAATACGGAAATTGTAGAGGAAATTAAAGATATCGATGAAGAAAGTAAAGAGGAAAATAAAGAGATCGATGAAGACAATAAAGAAATCGATGAACACACTACAGAAATTACTGAAGAAAATCAAGAAATTGTTGAAGAAAAAGAAGTGGAAGAATCTCCTGAAATTCCAGAAGAAGAAGAAACACCTACCCTTCCTGAAGAAGAAAAGGAAGAAACCACACTACAAAATCCCGAAGAAATGGAAACTGAAGACGTACCTCCACCTGTATTGGAGGCAGTCAACAATGTAGAAACAAATAAAATCGAAGTACACGAGGAAGAATCTGAAGAACAAGAAATTCAACCCAAAGAAACTGAAGAAACAATGCCGGTTCTTGAAGCTAACGTTTCTGAAGACTTGGATAATAACAAGGAAAATAACGAGGTACCAAGAGCGACACCTCCGCCGAAAATTGAAGAATCAGCGGAAGAAAAGGCGTTGAAAGAGAACATTCTGCAGGCTTTAGGTCTGCAGAGCCTGCAGGCTGCTGAAGAGGCTAAGAGTAAGGAAAAGGCGCCCAAGACTGATGGTGGTTACACTGGGACTCTAAAGACTGTGATTAAGATAAATAGGGAGAAGAAGAAGGGAAGAAACTCGTTGAAGATGACGCTGCAGAAGAATAAGGGTAAAGGTGACGCTGAATCCAGTGGTGTGGAGGATGGTTACAAAATAATGAAGGAGGTGAGTTTTTTTTTAAATTTTTTGAAACGATTTTAAATTATTGTTTTTTCAGAGTTCTTCAAGTTGGAAACACGGGCATAATTCTTCAGATACAGCTGGTGCGCGTCATAAATCTCACTATTTTAACAGATCTAACCCGGGTAAATTACTTGGTTAAGGGCTTGACTTCGTTTTATTTCTTGAGCACTATTTACACCCTTTATTTTTAATCATACTACACATTTTAGAAAACACTTATTATTGGTTTTGGCAAATCTTCAGTAGTTTTTATTGTATAGTAGTTAATCTGGTTTCATTCTTAGTTAACTCTTCATACCATTATATCAAGTAGAAATACTAACAAATTATTATTTTTTAAGATGGTAGCAGTGAACACACTTCCGACGGTGAAAGTAACAATCAAGATGGTACCGCTAAAGCATTGGTTATACCTGAAAAAGCGAGTTCTTTTAGTATACACCCTGGTAGGTTGTGTAAGGACGAATGTTCGTACTGTTTCGGCAAATTTGGTTTATTTGATACGCCGTGTCATATAGCACAAATGAAGAACGTGGATAGACAAGACAAGATCTTGGCAGGTTAGTCAACATCCTAAAGAAGCATTACAAATTATGAATTTGATACATTTTTAGCTGAAAAACATTTAACAAGAGACTCGTGCCTCTGTGATGCCTGTTATAGACACGTAGATAGAAAATCTAATACACCTTCATATACAAATAAGTCTACAAAGAGAAGCTCTCTTGTAGCACCAGGTCCAAGGCAGAATCATTGCCATGTGCTTGGTTGCGAGAAAGTCTCCAATAATATTTTGCGGAGAAAGTGGATAATCAAAATGAGAAAAAGCATATGCCAAGTGGTATGTATATCAACCCCAAAAACGCTAAAATCTGATAACATTGCATATTTAGATAAACATTGATCTGGACAATCCAGGGCTCCATTCAATCCCAATTTGCGATGAACACTACTCAGCTTTGGAACATTTAATGGTGTGTGCAATGTGTAAAAGACGACTGGCTAGAAATCATATACACTACCTGGGACCAGAAAGTGCAAATCTTAATAACGCCTTAAACACAGAAGGTATACCTTTATCCCTGTGCGAAAAACCAGTTGTTTGCAAATTGTGCAAATGTTTTGCCGCTGTTATACTTAAGGAGCCCGATGATAGACCCGAGAACAGTATGAATTTCTTCAAGGAATACAAGAAAAGGTAAGCTAAAGTCTTTCTTTATCTAAATGCAGTACTTTTAAAAAAAATCTCGTCCATTGACACTGTTAAAAATGAAGAAATTTCATTTTTTTAATAACTTTTTTATTTCAAAACGTATCGATTAGAAATTTGGACAAAATGTAAATCTTACTAATGACAATTAATCCATACAAAAATTTTGTTTAGATTTTAACTTGTGATAATTTAATTTAAAATTCAACAATTTTTAAAGGTTTAAGTAATCAAAGAAACAACTTTGTTTTATAAATTTGAGTATAACACGTTGAATTATTGATATTTGACTATTATTTGATATATTAACTTTTTTATGCAAATGATGTTTCTGTGGCCAGGATCAGTTTTGAATTGGCAGTAGCAGTATTCATAAATGTTTAGTTTAGAACATTTTGTCATTTTTATACAAATATTGTTGTATTTTTTATTAATAATTAAGTATAGCGTAACACATAAATGACGTTTAATATACAGGGTGTTTCACGTACGTAGTCCGTTCGAATTTTTAGAGAATCGCAAAAGACATCGATTTAAAATTTTAATAGCGTAAATTATTCGATTTAGACTTTTTTCCTAAATTATTTTGAACAAAATAATACTTCCTGTTTTACCGGAAATGTCTTTAACTTTGTTATTTTAAACAGGACACCTCATATATTTTAACATTTTTGAATTCTACATAAAATTCTGAGTAAAATGGCTATACCATATCCTATATCTAAAGTCAATATTTTTGGATTAATTTTCAATCAAATATTTTAATTAATTTTAAACAATGACAGATTAAGGTTACTGGTTACTGTCACATTAACCCACATGTAGAATTTCACAGGTTTGTTGATACAAAATAGTATTGAAAATATTAGAAATTGTTAAATGTCCCTGAGATTTTAACTTTAGGAAACAGTTATTATAATAACAATCGAAAGATTCTTTAATTTTCTATTTGATTATGTTAAAACATACAGGGTTTTACATTTATAATAAAAACGTTACTATTGTTTGAAGTTTGCCTAATTTTAAATGGTTTTTCTCAAGCTATTTGTTGAAAAAAAATATTTAAACGTTTTAATATTACAAAAATTCCAACCCTATGTCAGCAAACCTAATAACAAAAAAAATAGAGGCTATTTTTGATTGACGTGCATTTAGCAAAATTTTGACAAAAAATTAATATCTTGAAAACTATTGACTTTAGGTATAGTCTAAATAAAATTGTATACGCTATTAAAATTTCAAATCCATATCGTTTGCGTTTCTCCAGACACCCTGTATAGCATTATATTAAATATAAAAAAATGCAAAATAACTAATTACAAAAAAGCGAAAAACAACTGAAAAAAATATACATATATCTAAATAGGTGATCGCAACACAAAAAATAAAGTCTCTATTCTAATTTATTTATTGGGTAAATTTTACTTTCCTTAGTTTGGAATTAAAATTGAAGCTTGCTTATGGAGTAAAAAATAAATTGAAGCTTGGTTGTGGAGAAAAAAATAAAATTAAAGAAGGTTATAATTTCTAACTTGCTGACACTGTCTATAATTATTTAGTTTATTCATTTTAATAAATTAATGTATAAACTGAACTGTCATATTATCTTTCATGCTTCCAATAGTAGGTTACCATAGAGAAAAGTCTATGATGCCTACTATGATCAAAATTAGTAAGCTTGACAAAATTTTAAGTTTATAAATACAATTAATTTTAGCTCCATCTATGGCGATTTTCTTAAATAAATATGTAATATATAATACATTATCTTATAAAACTAGATAAAAGAATATATACTTTGTACAACATGTTAGTAATATGAAGGCCTAACTTAAAAATAATGTCTATCATGGAAACATAATTTGCATGTAGAAGTTTATAAAACAAATTTGCTTCTTCGATTTTTTAACCCTTAAAAATGGTAAATGCCCCCTGTATGTTAAAATCTAAAAAAAAATAATACGTGGATTTATTGCCATTAATAAGATCTAAAGTCTATTCAAATCCAAGCTGGACTAAATGTAAACACAATCCTCCGAATCGACAAATAAGAACTCAAAATCCGAGTCACACCATCAGAATCGACCAATAAGAACGAGTTATCATGCGTCTGGGCGTTTTTGTTTAGTCCAGCTTGGATTTGAATACACTTTACGTTTTAACTTAATTTTAAATCGATACGTTTTTATATAAAATGTTATTACTGTCCGTTCAGGCTAAGTTGAGCGGTCTAAGGAATGTCACCCTGTCCATCATCTCTATGTTCAGGCACAATTAAATACATTTATTTTGGTAGCCGCTCTGTACGAACAAACGGCAAGTCGCGGCATTGATAAATCATCTTCTTGTTACCGAAATCTCGCGACGTTTCGATATTTAATTTTATCAACGGCAACATTGTCCCCCGCCAAAGCGCTCAACTTAGCCTGAACGGACTGTACTAAATATTGAAATTTATATATTTTTAACACAGTAGAGTGACTTAAGGCCTGAAAACCACAGCGGTCAAAGGAAAAAAACCATTTATATGTAGAAACAAGATTAAAAAAATTTATTCAATTCTGGCATCACTTGCAAACCAATGTCCAAAATTTGTTCGATTTTTACGCAAAACCATAGTCAAGTATAAAATCTTGCTGGTCACATTTACGACTTACGACAATTTTTTATGTTAGGTTGCTTCATTTCAACGACATCGAACCGCTGGAAGAATCGGCAGCCGAAGAGCCAATCCTGGTACCGGCGCGATCTGACAAGGAATCCAAGTTGAAGAAAAGGAAGAAGGCCGATACTTCGGAAGAAGAATCCAGCCAGCACGAAGATCAAAATAACGCGGAGAACGATTTCAACTGCGTCGACTACAACACTTTGATCCCGGCCATTGCGATGGACTGTGATAGTGATAGTGACGGGAAAAAGGACGCCGAGGTGAAGAAAGTCATGCAGAGGATGGAGTCCGTGAAGGAAGCAGTGGAAGTTTCGAAGAATCTGAAGTTGAAGAGTTCGAAGAACGATGTCGCCGTCAGCAAATTGGGGGCGAACCCTTCCATATCGGTGAGGCAGTTGTTCCCCGGGGAGGAGGATTTGCCGCTCAACGCGAGCATAGAGTTCAATAACATCAAAGAGAAAACTCCGGAAGGTTGGTCGAAATGTTCCAGCGTTATACAGTACGATAGCGATACTAAGAAGCTGTGGAATGAGTTGCAGAAGCCTTACGGGAACCAAAGCAGTTTCTTGAGGCACTTAATTCTCCTGGAGAAGTACTTCAGAAACGGCGAGTTGGTTTTATCTTCGAAGGCTAGCCATCACGCTGTAAATTACAGCGAATCAGTTCAGAATAGATTGCGGGCCTACGATAACCTCCCGTCTCACAGCAACAATCAACCTTTCACGATGATGCAGTTCAATAAGCAACAAAAGAGCCAAAGTGGGATCATAACGAGCAAAAAAGAGGTGCTGCCGCCGGTGACGATCACGAAAACCACTCCGATGACGTCGCAGCTAAACAGCCCGCCTCTAATCCCGCCCAGTGCGATTTTGAACCCCGTAAAACGCCCGACCGCGCCCCCTGGTTTAATCTCGCTCAACGCGAACATACGTCCGCAGGGCCCGAGTAACAAAATGCCTCAATCGCAGAAAATTAAGTTCCCCATCACGAAAAACTGGCGGCCGAACTTGATACCGATCGATCCCACCAAGAAGCAGGAGAGGAAGCAGGGTTTGGTTCAGGTCATATCGGGCGGCAAACCCTACCACATAACCTTCGAGGATTACAAAAAAATGTGCGCTATCAAGAGGAGTTTCGAGCAGAGGGAGAAGAACAAGCGCCTGCAGGAGCCGCCCCAAAAACCCATCCTGGTGACGCATAACTCGGTGTTAAAGAGCATAGTGCCAAGAAAGGGTCTAATAATATCGAAAACCACTGCCACGGTGGTGAAAAGCGAGCCAACAGACTTGGAGAAGCTCGACAAGCATGTGGAGAACATTGGCGGTGGTAAACCTCCGAGCGAGAAGTCTCTGTTGCTGCCAAAAATACCAAAGTCCCTGACGGTGATCCCGCAAACTGTAGCGAAGAAAAATTCGCGCCCCGGGAGCCCCGTGATGATAATCACGCAGAAAAACACTTCAATCAACCGATCATGATTGTACATGATCAAAATAAGTGCCTATACACGTGTGAATCAAACACTATCTTCGTGTAGTAAGAGAGAAAAATAATTGATGATGAAACACAATTAATTAGATAATGATGATGATATTTTTTTAAAAAGAGATATAAAAATAGTATAATGTACAGACAGAAAACATTTTATATATATATTGTATATTTCCTAACCGTTCGGCAATAAGATTTTTCTATTTTGGATTGTTCTTTAATCTGAAAAATTGTTCTTATTATTATTATTATTAAATATTTCGGAGTCTACGTTGACGTTAAAAGTTAGTGTTTTTAAGTACTTATTTACCATTTCACCATGTCTATATAATATTGTTAAAAACCAAACATTTTACATATCTGACGTTTTGAATTTTCAGTAGGTTTGCTAAAAATTCCTTTTGAGTGTATGTAGGTAACAACTGATTACTTATTGTAGGTGCTTTTCAAACGTTGAATCGTTAGCAGACCTTTTCATTGTATATTTTACATTATGGTACAACTCCCCGAAGCTTCCTTTGAAACGGAATACCTAAACTAACATTTAACAATATTTAAGTAATTTATTTTTTTTAAATAGTATGCTCATGTTGTAACCCATTAATTAAGGTATTTTTAATTTATTTAGTGTTTTTTTACGTCTCATCGGATGTACTGTTTTTATGAAGAGAAAAAAGTTGATAGAATATGCAGGACTTTCACCTTTTTTTTTTTATTAATAGTGGAAAAAGGTGCGAGTTTGTGTAGGCATGTGAGAATGAAAAAAGGCTGAGTTATTGTTATTCTTTCTTATTATTATTATTATATTTAATGATTATTGCCCAAAGCTAAATTCGATTTTTTTGTAAATACTGTAATTGACCTATGGGCTTGATAAGTTAAAAATAAAAATTATTTACAATATAAAACAACTTATTTAGTTCCTCTTCTTAACTCCAAAAAATGTATATTAAAGGTAAGTAAGTGGTCTAAAATTAATTAATGAGATAAGGAAGAAATTCAATACTTACCTACATAGGTACCAAAATTTTCTTAAAAGAAGAAACAATGCAGTCTGTTAAAACGAATTATCCCAGGATTTAAAAAAAAATGCAAAACAATTTTGTAGGTTCAATATAAGTTTTTTAACGTTTTTTTAACATTATTGTCTCTCCATTTGAAGAATCTAACGGTCGTTTATGTTTACTGGGTTGCCTATGTTTATAATTCAAATCAAATCTAAAAATAATATACAGGGTGTCCCATAACTCGCGCCATAGAGAAAAAGGAGGCGTAGTGTTTGTTTTGTTAAGTTTTATTCGAACTGTTTAAATAAGTGTTTGAAGTTTTTTTGTTTTTTTAGGTACATTCATGTTTCTTATTTTACATTTATAGCCACTTTAAGTAACTTTACTATTTTAGTACCAAAAATAGCATGGACTATATATTATAGTGACAAAACAATGCCACTAAAATAGTTCGCAGTAATGCGAATATTCGTATTTCGCATCTATATGAAACCGACCTTATAAGATAATTTTAATTTTCTAGTATGTGTTCCGCACAACTAGTTAAAGCTTTTGGCTAGAGATGTAAAAAACGTATTTGTTTTCAGATGTGAAAAAAAACATGAAAAAAACCGCTACATATTCTGTCAATAAAAAACATCAATCTTAAAAAATTGAGTATTTTATTAACATGAAATTTTGAACAAAATGGATATTAATAATAAAGTGAAATTTAGAATATATCACATTTTTTATTATTGAAAATTTTGACCTTGGAAGTAAAAAAATTGATTTCTTATTACATTTACTAAATGTTATTTAGTGGCTAAATTTTAGTCTATAAACTGGACTAAAAACATAAAAAATTAGGCAAATGGAACTTATCTTTATCTTGAAAAAAAAACCTAAAATATGAAGAAAAAAAACATTTGAAAAAAAAACAATTAAAAAAACCTGAAAAAAATCATACAAAAATAAAACAAGTATTCCTATTAAATAAATTTATTAAATATAAAAAACCTAAATACATACAGTAAAAATATGCTAGGACATTACAAAGAAACAAATCTTTGGCATTATTGGCAAAAATATATTAATATCATATCTTAAAGAAACATTTATATACAAAAAATAAATGATTATTTACAATTAATAATACTTCCAAACATAATATACCACTAAAAAGTAATAAATACGCATAAAAAATACACCGAATTATTTTTAAATAGAGCCGCCATACAAGTGTACTATAGAGCCGCGGAGTTAGGTTTGCACAACCAAAAGTGCATTACCTTGGTCCGCGGCTGTACATGCAGTCTTAAAAAAATCAAACTATGCACAGGGTGTTGTCCTTGCAAACCGAAATTTGGGCTTCGTTCATGATCCTGAGCCTTGGGCCCAGGGGAAGTCCCATTTTTTGGAGCCTTTCCTCGCTCAAGTAAGGTAGCTCCACCATCCCGATACGCTCGTTCTCGAAGAGATTCGCGTATTTCTAAAAAAATGTATTTGTTTAGCTTTGAGAAATTCCAATTTTAAAATTCTTTTGCATATTACAGGGTGTTTTTTCTGCTTTAACAGAATGAGTAGAGGTGCGTCAAACAAGAAAGAATGTCAGAAAACTTAACCTAAAACCAAAACACTGACAATATATTCTTTTTCTATGCTGACAATGACAGTCACAAGTGACCATGGTGTTCTTTGGTTGTGACTCACAACCAAAGAACACCATGGTCACAACCATACAGTTAAGGTAAATTCACACTACGATAGTTCATAGCAAAAATGTGTTTTTTATAATATTTATTCAATTTTTAATTTTAGTATTCAAAAATGCAATGTTTTTATTAATTAACCTCAACAATAAAAACAATGTGGGGGCTCATAATATGATCAAATTAGGTGCTGAATATATTTTCAGCACCTAATTTGAATAAAAATAAAATAAAAACGTTGTAATCATCAATTTGTTGATATTTGAATAGGTAAATTAAAAATTAAATAAAACTTATAAAAAACACATTTTTGTAGAAATTTGATAGTAGTGTGAATTGACCTTAATTGTGTACATGGTGTTCTTTAATAGCACTGTTTTTTGGTGTCAGTGATTTTGTTTTTTGGTAAAGTTTTCTGACATTCTATTTAGTTTGTCGCACTTCTACTTACTTATTTTGTTAAATTTAAGTAACTAATTAAAGGTAAATCAGATTGAAAAACGTCAAAAGACTTTTCGTCTTCTTCTTGGCTCTACTATACGCCCTTAAAATATTTTACCTTTTTTTACATCCTGTATATTGATATCTTTTCAACATTCAGAAATGTGAAATGAGTGGAAGGGATGGAATTTTCCAGGAATGAATCAGATTACTGTATGTTTTGATATGAAAAAGTTTTTTAATAATAAAATTAATAAAAAATAAAAAATCTAAATAAAAACTGTACTTTTCTAAATAAAAACTGTACTTTTCGACAATTCTATTTTATCTATTCAATTTTTTCCTACAGATTTTAGAAAGATTTCGGCAAAAAAATGGTGTGAAAAGATGAATATTTTGGAAAATCGTGTTTAAACATTGTATTTCAGCAAATAAGCAAACTTAAAGTTCAGTACATTTTACAACATTTTTGCCTGAAGAAGTAGGAAGAAATTTTAAATATTATCAAAAAATTTAAAAAAAAAATTAATTTTACGAATATTTGGTCCCAAATATTGGGTTTGTTTGTTCAGTAACTAAATTTGTACCAAAAATCTTGACGACATAAATCAAATATATGCGAAAAAATTGATTTAAAAGTTTAAATTGGAATATATGAAAATACAAACTGCCATAAAAAAAATCGAGCTTTTACAGCCCAGTTTTGCTATTGTATAGGTATATTTGGTATTTGAGGTTGCACAGTGTTATTGGGAAATAAGATAAAAATAATTTATTTCTCACCTCATATCCTAATTTTCTTAAGAACAGCCTAAGTAGTGGCGGCTCATCTCCAAAAAACTTCGTCAACTTCTTGACCCTGGCGGGATTGGCCAGCGTCGGAAGATCCTTGGAGCTGTTGACAGCTCTGCTGGACTGCGATCGGACGTTTAAGATGTTGGTCTGCGTCCTGAGGGCCGAAATCTCGCCCCTGATGTTCTCCATTTCCTGCATCATCAAATGCTGCGTCCTCATCTCGGACGAGAGGTGCGCCACCGAGCGAGCCAAGGTCACCACGTGCGATTCGAGCCGTTGAAACCGCTTATTTATCCCTCTTATGTCGCGGACTTTCTTCCTGTCCTCGCCGGCCCTCCTCTTGTCCCTTATGGGCCTGCTGCTCACCGAGCTCGACGGTAACGACGACATGCTGCCGTATCTGCGCTTCGAGAATCTCGGATCCGACGGTTGGTACCTTCCGGTTTGCTTTTTGACGCCCAGAAGCTTCAGGACCTCGGAATACATGCTTTCCAGGCCTTCCAGTTGCTTCCTTATGGTTCTGGCGTCTTGCGTGCTCAAATCGCCGTCCGAATCGCTTTGGCCGTCCAACATGGACTCCAAATCTAGAGACCTCGTCGTGGTCGATGTCAAATCGGTTGTGTCCAGACCGAATACTAAAAAACCGCATTGAAACACAACTAGTAGTAAATTTTTTCTGACCTATACTTTTTATGGTTTTATTCAAGGCGTTTTGTAATTTTAAGCATTTCTGTGAAAATCTCCTAATTACGTCACTAGGCTATTGACGTTGCCAGCTTTTTCTATGGTTGCCAGTGTGTTTAGTTTAAGATTCTTACAATAGATGGCGCCACGTTATATTATTTTAGTTTTAAAACCACTTGATCTATAATTTTAGTTGAGAAGAATTGATTTTTTGACGTTTCTTTTTTTCGGGTTATGATTTTTTTAAATTTAGATTATTGAAAATCAATGTTATTGTTATGTTATTTGTAATTAATATTAGATAAGTGATTTATTAATAACGGACTCCAAAGCAGAGAAATCTTGTGGAATGGTTGGTTACATTGAACATTGGAGCTTTTAAACAAATAAAGTATGTACCTATAATTATAATCATATTTTGTCGTAAATGCATTTCATTAGTATAATGCCTAGTTCTTTATATTCTTTTAGATATATCTTGGACTCTAAAATATCAAACAGTAATATGATACCTCGTAATAAGGCAAGAATTTGGTGACCATCTTTCACTCAACTGACAGTGACAGTATTTGTACATAACCTCTTCGGGTATTTTCTGACATAACCGAATGAAATCATTAACAAGACAACTTGACAACGGGGTAATTTTCAACCAATAGAAATCTTAGAATGTTGGTCACATGGCGAGGTTTGTGACGTCATAAAAATTTATATTTTTTGTAAATATCTCGAAAACGGTAAACTCAATTGAAATTCCGATTTCACAGAAATGTTTAAAATTACAAAACGCCTTGAATAAAACCATAAAAAGTATAGGTCAGAAAAAATTTAACTACCCCATTAACTTACTTTGTTTGCTCCTCAAAATAGCACTGTGATCGACCTTTTTATTGGACCTGTGCTTATTGGAAGAACCGTTCCATCGCGCCACCAAATCCCTGGTGTGGTTTTTAGATTTGTACCCGTCATAGTCAGGTTTACTACCATACGGTAAACTAAAACAAAGCCATGTTAATGGACTCACTGCCAAAAAAACACTATAGGGTGTTATGTAATTAATGTTATATATTAAAATGGGTTGTTCCTTAGGGTCCATAAAGAAGCACCTGAAACTTTTTTTTTCTAAATTCCAAAGTCTAAAAATAATTTATAATAACCTTTATCCTACCAAAAAGTACGCCACTGATCGACTAGGAACTTTAGGTTAATCTGGTGGATTTATTTTGTTATGGTTGGTGACAGTGTTTCCAAAATCTCTCAAAAAAGTTGACAAACATTGTTTAAATTTAGCTTAATTACAAAAATGACAAAATTAACAATGCAAATTGTCAATTTGGCGTTTTTATTAATTGTTGGTTATTTCATTTTTGTACTGAAGGTAAATTCAAACAAAATCTGCCAACTTTTATGACAGAATCTAGTGCATTTCTTTTAAATTTTAGGTTATGTTTTCAAATTGTAAATATCTTAACTAAGGGAAGTGCTTTTGGATTTATTTACACAAATTAAATGTTTAAAGTTTAACCTGTGAACTGGTCCCAATTTCATCTGAGTAAACAGAGAAAAAACTGATTAAAAAATTAATTTTGTGGTTATGGATTTCAAATTTCAAAGGTACTAAATTTTCTAATCATTGCTTAAGCTAATAGCTGGATCAGTAAATAAATACAGAAGGGTATTAGAGCTTTAAGGGCATAAAACTTTTGTATTTATTGAGTTTTTATTTATTTTTTGCAAGAAAAATTTTTAGTAACAATTTTTTACATCTGGCAACGCATAGCTACTTTGTTGGTTGGTATCTATGTACTCACAAAATACAGGTGTGGAGAGATAAACAAGTGTGTAACCAGTGGCGTATCACAAAAAATATAAAAAACTTCTAATGCATATTTTTTCTTTATCTTTGGAAAAATGTTTTTTTAAATATTTTTCCTTTATTCCTTATGTCAAAATGTATTCAGTATTTTAATATATAACATTAATTACATAACACCCTGTATACGGTCATACCTGCTATGTTTATATCTATTGGAGTTTCTTGGCGTCATATTGGGGGAGGATTGTTCCCCAGGCGATAGAGGAGGCAATGGAGGAGTCATGGAGGAAATGCTCTCGCTTATAGTGGAATTCGCCATACCTCCATTACCGTGTAAGGAGAGCTCGTGCAGTTTTGGTTCGAGAATGTGTCTGAGCTCATTTTCGACGATGTCTACCCATTCTGTGTCGTGGTCTTTAAAGATAATAACATAGTAAGAAATCTAGATTGTTATTGAAGTTTAACTTCTTTTGGCGCCCACAGCCAAAGAAAATTCGACAGTATTAATTTGAGACGAGTGACGTGACAAAAAATTGATATAAACTTATATGGAGAAGAAGCTTGTGTCTTTGGGGAGTAAGAAATTAGTGGCTGTGCCTTAGGGAGAGGGAGATAGAAATAAATAAATCCAATATGGCGGCCACTCTAAGATGGCGGATTTCCTATTTCTTCACAACCTTCTTGAAAGGTTGATTTGACGTTACAACTTCTCAGAATTTTTCAAAATTTCCGGAATTATCAAATTTTTTGAATTTGTATTTTTTTTAATAATTTTATATAATTTTAAATTTCCCAAATTTCCAGAATAATTTAGGAGATTTTGATAAATTCAAAAATTTTGAAAATCATCAATTTTTTTGAATTTGTCAAAATCTCCTAAATTTTTAAAATATACAAAATTTTCAAATTGTCAAAACATCCTATATTTTCAAAATATCCAAAATACCTAATTTAAATTGGTAATTTTAAACATAAATTTATAAAATTTCAATAAAAATTTTAAATATCCAAAATTTTGATGATAATTAAAATCTTCGAGTTTGTCCGTCTCTTTAATTTTCAAAATTTACAAAATTGTAAATATTTTTCAAATTCTATTTTTTTATTATTTTCTGTTTTTGAAATTATCAAAATTTTTTTCAGTATATAAAACCAGAATTATGAAAATATTCGAATTCATCAAAATCCCCTAAATATCCAAAATTTCGATAATAATCAAAATTTTCAATTTCCAAAATTTCCGGAATTATCAAAATTTTCGAAGTTAAAATTTACAAAATTTATATAATTTTTAATTTCCAGAATTGCCAGAATAATTTAGGAGATTTTAACATATTCAGAGATTTTAATTTGTAAAATCTAAATTTTTAAAATGATTATTTCCCTCATTATAATATGAACCAATCAAAAGCCTTGAATTTTCGAATAAATTTCGTTTAAATAAGCAATTAAAACTATTTAACAGCATTTAAATTTTAGCCTCCATATTGGATTTTTGTTTACGATTTTATGGTGTTATTTACAAGTTTTAACAAACATTTTTTAAAAAACAATAAAAAATAAGTTATCTAGTTTACGAAATATCAATTATTACTTATTACATACCTTAAATTAATGGAATTTTCTTTAAAAAAATATTTATAAATTTTGACACATACATACGTCAGATTTTATGAATTGTCAAATAGTTTCCTTTAATTCGAGAAATAATCTAGATGTATATCACTCAACCTATAAATTTAATCTGTCAAACTATGCTCAGTAAGCTTTTTATTTGATTTTTCTTTTTGGAAAATAGTTTCATGCAAAATAATTAAAAATAAAACCCCTCGACCGCTACGCGGTCTCGTGATTTTATTAAATTATTTTGCATTCAACATTTTCCAACAAAAACCAAACAAAAAACTACTGAGCCTAGTTTAACCGATTAAATTCATAGTTCTCGTGATTTACAAAATTTTCAAATTTTTCGATTGTCAAAATTTTTAAAATAACGAAAATATTAATACCTAATTTAAAATTAATTTAAATTTGTAATTTTGAAAATTTATAAAATTTCCATTTTTTTTTTCATTTCAAAATTTATAAAAATTTTAAAATCAAAATTTTCGAGTTTGTCAAAATCTCCTTAATCTTAAAATTTTCAAAATTTTCAAACTCCAGTTTTTCTTTAATTTTCCGTTTTTGAAATTTTCAAAATTTTTTAGTATATACAGGGTGTTTCTTTTAACTTGAGACAGCTCAATATCTCGAGAAATAAGCATTTCACGGAAAAATGTTTTAAATAAAAGGTTAATGTGACTAAAGGGGACATTATTTGGTGCTACCGCTAGCCACCCCCTACCCCTCCTTAAGGGTGAAACGGGGGGTAACTTTGGAAAGTCAAATGGAATGACCCGATTTTTTTCACAGAGTTTGGTAGTACATAAAAAAATAAATAAGTTTTATTTAAAACTTTTTTCAATTTATCAACAGATGGCGCTGTAATTCAAAATTTAAGAAAAATGAGTTTCCTTGTAAAATGTATTATTTGAAACGTTTGAAAAACAAAAATTAACATTAACAACAATAGTCGGCTATGAAAACAATTTATAACAAATGTTCTAAATGTCGTCATTCCATTTCAACACATTTTTGAATGCGGGTAATGAATTCTGGCACACAACGCGCCAACATATCGGGCGGTATCGCCGCACAGGCGTTCCTGATCCGTTCCACCATGTTCTCTTAAGTTGTAGGAATTGCAGCGTAAACTTTTTCTTTCAAGTAACCCCACTGGAAGAAGTCTGGTGGCGAAAGATCAGGTGATCGAGCAGGCCAAATTACTGGACCACGTCTACCGATCCACCGCGGTGCACCGGCCATTGAACTCCCGATCCAACACCTCTCGAGCAATTGTCGAATAATGTGCAGGACAACCATCTTGCTGGTACCACATGTTTTGGAGCCGTGCTAGTGGTACATCCTCCAAAAGGTCCGTCAGATCGTTTTCTAGAAATTTCCGGTACTTTTCGCCATTTAATGCACCGTCAATAAAGAAGGGTCCGATTAATCGTTCGCTGAAGGTACCTACCGCACCAAACGTTTACCGACCAGGGACTCTGGTGCTCCACTTGGTGTCGAAATGGAAGGACGACATTTCGAACATTTGTTATAAATTGTTTTCAGAGCCGACTATTGTTGATTTAATGTTAATTTTTGTTTTTCAAACATTTCAAATAATACATTTTACAAGGAAACCCCTTTTTCTTAAATTTTGAATTACAGCGCCATCTGTTGATATATTGAAAAAAACTTTCAAATAAAAGTTATTCATTTTTTTATGTACTACCAAACTCTGTGAAAAAAATCGGGTCATTCCATTTGACTTTCCAAAGTTACCCCCCGTTTCACCCTTAAAGAGGGGTAGGGGGTGGCTAGCGGTAGCACCAAATAATGTCCCCTTTGGTCACATTAACCTTTTATTTAAGACATTTTTCCGTGAAATGCGTATTTCTCGAGATATTGAGCTGTCTCAAGTTAAAAGAAACACCCTGTATATATAAAACCAGAATTATCTAAATTTTCAAAATTTCCGAAATTTACAATTTTTTTTTAAATTCAGATTTTTTTTTTAATATTAAATTTTAGAATTTTTAATATTTTCGAATTTGTCAAAATATAATTTTTTTTAAATATCTATACATCTATATATCTTTTTTTTAAATATAATACCTAATTTAAAAAAACTAATTGAAATTAGTGACTTTAAAAATTTATAAAATTTCCAATTTTTTTAAAATTTCAATTTTTTTTGACATCTTAAATTTTTAAAATATCCAAAATTTTGATAATAATCAAAAATTTTGAATTTGTCAAAATCTCCTTAATTTTCGAAATGATTGAAATTGCTAAAACTTTTTTTAATTTTCAGTTTTTAAAATTTCCAATTTTTTTAAGTATATAAAACTTCCAGAATTATCAAAATTTTCGAATTTGCCAAAATCTACTAAATTTTCAAAATTTCCGGAATTTATAAAAATTTGAAATTTTTTGTAATTCTTTTTTTTTAAATTTTTAAAATTTTCGAATTTGTCAAATTATCGAAAATATTGGTACCTAATTTTCAAAATAATTAAAAATTGCAATTTTTTGTAAAAATATCATTTTTTTATATTCGAAATTTTTTATTTCGAAAATTTTAATTATTTCAAAAATTTCAAAAATGTTTAAAATTTTCAATATCCCCTTTTTTTAATTCTTAAAGTCATCAAAATTTTGACAATTTCAAAATTTAAAAAATTCACAATTTTTTTAAAATCATTTACTTATACTTTTTATCCTACTTACTATTCACATGGTGATCTCTGAAGTTGGTTAAATGGTTGTGGTTCTCTATTTGCTCGTTAAGATCGACCCCAGGTCTTCTACCGCTACTGTAAGCAGCCGAACCCCTCCCAGAATCCACATTCGAAGACGATTGCCCGCCAGTTTTATCGTAATCAGAGCTGGTGGCGGAACTAGGATTATTTTTCTTCGATATCCTCCCGTCGTCTTCACCCTTGATTCTGTGCGCAACGTTGTAAACCCCCTCGATCTTCCCAATCTCACCCTCCAACTTCTTCCTCGGCGTACCTTGCAGAGTCTCAGTGACGTCACTCTCTGTCCTCTTCAAAAACCCCCCATCGTCGCTGTCCTTCTCGTTGTGGTCATTCCTACCGCCCTCCATTATATTCCCGTGCGACCCCCTGCGCCCCCCCTGGTTGGACGACGCGGCCGCCTGCGGTTGCGGTCTGTGGTCGTGCACCTCGGGTTTTTCGTCCTCGAACGCCAGCTGCGGCTGCGAAGCTGTCCGTCTAGCTTCGAAGCTCATTTGGCGCTGAGTATCTCTCTCCACCTGCTGAGCGCTTCTACCCGGAGAAATGGGCTGTCTTCTCTCGTCTTTCGCCTGCACTGGGCTCTGCATCTGGTAGTTTCCAGCGGGAGGAAATCTCCTCTGCGGAGCTTGACCCCCGTAACCTTGATAGTACACTTCGTCCTGCCTCGGGGTCAGAATCTCCTGCGACCGCGCCTGCGAAAGTTGATACTGAGTTTTGATCTGACTTTGCTGGTACTGTTGCTGCGCTTGCTGAGCCAGCATGTGCTGCTGGATGAAGTGCTGGTTGTATTGGTGCTGCATCGTCATGTTCTGCTTGTTGTACTGCGATTGTTCAGGTTTTTTATCGTCCTCAACAAGATTTCCCTGACTCTTTCTCAACTCTTCCGTGACGTTATTCAAGCCCGCTTCCTCTATTTTATCGTCGTTCTCCTTATTATTGCTCTTGAATTTACTCGAAATCATGTCTTTGATGGTGTGGTATGTTTTCGTCATCGATTTCTTCTGATCCTTGTCTTTCGAGTTTGTTTCTATTTGCACCGTTACTGATTGAGTATTATTATTGCTAAACTCCTCGTTAACACCTCTTGGTGCAGGTTTACTTGGATCATACCACGATGACCTTGGTACAGCCCCTGTGGACTGCCCATTATAATACTCTTGCGGTGGATGATACGTGGCTCTGAATATGGGCGCGTTGGAGTCCGCGCTTTGCTGTATCGTCTGTATCAAACCAGAGTGAGTCTGTAAAAGGAAAATTAAGCCAAAATTACCACAACTAATCGCAACATACAGCCTCTAAAGCGAATTCTACCATCATACAACACAACGGTTCACCTGCAGGCGAGGTTTATTACTAAAATATAAAACGACCTGTTCTCATCGGGACACTAACACATTCAAAGAAGAACAACAACAATAATTCCCTGCCCGATAATAATCTTTTCCGTAGAAATACAGCAAACCAGCCGAGTCCTGAACACGATGCCGTTATTAACACGAAGAATAAACGTTTGGTTCCACGCTTTTCGAATGTTATAATGTGCTTTACACAGGATATACGTGTCGCATTTTAATTAGGGGCATTTATTGTTATTTGAAGAATGAATAATGATTTTTTAGAAGAAATTTACAGCTAATAAAAATATCGAAAGTGTCATTTCAATTTTTACTACCATCTCGAGTCGTTAAAGTTTATTAAGGAAAAATAAATTCGGTGAGAAAAATCAATGCGATGTTGCCGCATCCTGCCAAAATACCACAAAAAAGTAAACCATGCCGCCAAAGTTGCCATGTTTACAAAGATGCTAAGAAAAAATACGTTGTCAAAAATGCAATATTATGAAATTTATAAAATGACATTTAAAAATGCGACATTGCCAAATTTTCAAATTACAACGTTGCGAAATTGCATTTTTTAACTTCCGACCATCTCCACATGTTGCCACATCTCTCCAAAAATGACAAAAAAGCAAATCAAGTTGCCAAAGTTCAAAAAATGGAAATAATAGAAAAAGCAAGTTTAAAAAATATGCAAAATTTGTCCCATGCTATGTTGTCAAAAATGCAATATATTATGAAATTTACAAAATGCGACGTTGCCAAATTTCCAAAATGCGACGCTGCCAAATTGACTAAAAATGCGACGACTCTTTTTACTTGGATTTTTTTTTCGAAATTTATTACTCCAGTGGAGACTCTTCACATGTAGCCAAATCTCTCCAAAAATGAAGATGATAGAAAAAAGCAAGCTTAAAAAATATGCAAAATTTGTCCCATGTCACGTTGTGAAAAATGCAATATTATGAAATTTACAATAATATTATGCGACACCAAATTTAAAAAAATGCGACGTTGCCAAATCGACAAAAAATGCGACCGTAACAAATTTTCAAAATGCGGCGTTGCCAAATTTTCAAGATGCAGCGTTGCCAAATTTACAAAATGCGGCGTTGCCAAATTTACAAAATGCGGCGTTGCCAAATTTACAAAATGCGGTGTTGCCAACATGCAATAATTTTTTTTTGAAATTTACCTCGTCCGGCATGATCTGGTGGCTTTGCATTTGTCCCTGCGTCCAGGCGGCCATTTGTTTGGGCGGCGCGTCCGGTGCGATGGCGGCCTTGGTGCGTTTCTTGTAGTCGTGCAGAATGGGTATTTTCGAGTTTTTATCGGTGCTCGATAGAATCACTTCCCGTTCGATCTGAAAGGCATATTTTTTTTGGAGATTGGTTGTTTTTTTAGCGTGTTCGGTTGTTATTTTGTTATCGCTCGGAACAATCTTGAGAAATTGCTAATTTTTACTACGGTGAGAATGTTCTCATTGTTTGTAGGTTTTACGCGGAAAACAGCTAAAAAATCTTTTTTTAGAAAGGTTACAATTTTAATTATAATAATTTACTTCGTTATTTGTGTTTTCGTTGTTGTTAAGTACTTAATGATGTTAAGTATGGTCGTAATTTATAAACAACAGTTAAAATATTGTTTTTTTTCTATATAGTGTTTGAAATAATAAATATTTTTTTATTAATATCCAGCAAACAAATTATTTTTTTCCGTGGTGATAATAATTAAATATGTATATCCAAATGAAGAAAAAATATCTTTAAACAAATTAATGGAGAAAATAGTATATTACACTCATTTTGTAAGATATATTAACATAATTATAATACTTAGTAGTTATTTTATTTTTACAACAGTACTTAATGACGATATAAATTTATATAAACAGTTAAAACATTGCCTTGATATTGATATGCAAAAAACAAACAACTCTATAAAGTGTTAAAATAAAGTGCCTACCTACATATGTCTTAATAAACCAGATCTTGGTCGGAGTCTTTTTTTAACAAATCCTGCTAATCCTTATTTATTAAATTAGTAATAATAATGAAGTTAAAGGGGCAACGATATATTTATTACGAGTCAAAGCCGTAAATAATATTATAGGTGCGTATGTAATAGAGGCTTTAATTAACTCCGGCTGTTTACGTCATTATAAACAATTTAAAGTGTTAATAAAACCTATTTGGTTGCTGCTGCTGCAGTTGCAAACAGTATGGTGGCTTTTTAGAGTAGATCGTAACATAACCAACAATTAGATATTCCATTATGATTTTTAATTATCATTTATTATTTTGTAACGAGGATGGATGGTCAGACACTGAATGAACTGTTTGACAGCTAATTCAAAATTTTTCACGTAAACTAAAATGGCATTTAGCCATTACCGAGAAACCCATTGTTAATTAATATTTTTGATACAACTGTTATAATTCTTGGCGATACAATATTTACTTTTGGATTAAATACGTATAAGGTATCTTTCTGTAATAGATAATCCACTCTTTACCTTTTAAAATAAACATGGTCATTATATCCTAACCTTTATTTAAAGTCGAGCAAAAGTTAAAAAAAGAATAGACAATATTTGAAACATTTTTCTGCCGTGTTAAAGCTCTATTTTTAAACGTTGTATCTCAAAAACTTCACAAACTATTGGAGGCCCAAGTCTAAAGCCTTACTTACGGGAAATTTGCTGGAATGCGTGTGCAGGCCCTGAGGGGTGGCGGGGCTGGAGCTAGAGATGGGGGCTTCCAAACCGGCGGCGGCACCAGGAATGCTTGGCTCGTTGTACAGCGGATACGGGGGCATCCTGTAAGGAGGCGGCGTTAGTGACACTTGCTGTGGGGCGGCTGACTGACCCTGTTGCTGCGGTAGTGGTTTTGGCGGCGGCACCGGCTTGTAAGGCCCATAACCATCCACCTCAACTAAAAAAAAATTGCGTAAGAACGTTTTTTTCGGTGTTCGTTTTTGTTTTACCGAAGGTGTTGGTTTTGATAACTTTGGCAACATCGCAACTAGGTTTTAAGGTTGCTTCAGGGGATGATAGAGGGTTTAATGACGTTTGCGATCGTCTAAGCCTTTCACCTTGCTTTACTTGCCTTACGGTTCTGCCCGAAGCCATTACATGGTGGCTTACAGAGGGTGTCCAAACAAGAACTTGGGATTTTTAAATTAGAAAAATATTTATTGAAAGAAATTCTTTAAAAATTGTCGTTTTATATTAGGGTGTTTAAAGAAAAGCGAATTGTTTTTTTTCTTGCAAATAGACTCAAAAGAGTTCGATTTTCCATAAGAATAACATGGGAAATTTTGTTGTTGTTCCTTCAGATTTTTGTAACTCATCAACCAAAGGTCATACCGAAAATGTGTTCGGATATTTTTATAGAGAATTAAACGCTCTACAAAAAAGGTACCCAATGATTTTTTGCTAAACCAATTGGTTAAAAAGTTATTAAAGATCAAAGTTCAACTCACTATCAATTTTACCGATTTTTCGGTATTGCAGCAAAACTACTGTTTTATTAAAAAATTGAGCACGAAATTTTATTGCCAAACATCAAGAGTCGTTAAAATTTTTTTTCATTTTAACAGAACACTTTACTAAAATAATATCATTTTTATTATGAAAAAAATTAAATATTTTGCTGCACCAATTTTTTTTATTAATTGATTTTGAATACAAGTTGAACAGTTTTTTATATTATTTTACCGATAAAAATATTTGTTTTTACACACAGTTGATAACACAATGTTCAAAAATTGAAAAAGTACATACATTTTACATATTTAATAAATAATAAATAATTATTTATGTTCTGTGCGCATTTAGATTTTAATTACAAAGCACAAGCATGAATATTAAATTAATTAGCCTGGTGGAAAAGTTTCCTTAATCGTATACAATATTTCTGAAAATAGAATTAAATAATTTAAAAACCAAATACTTTCCAATAAACGAGGTGCATACTATACTTTTTCTACGACAAATACTTATTATTATCTTAAAATGATTTAAATCAAAAATTTGTATAGAGCGCCATCTATGAAACAATAGGGGAATCTGTGTGTCACCGTCAAATGCCAAATTTTTATAATTATTAACACAATTATAAAGGTTATATATCGAAATGTATTTCTTGAAAACTGACAGTTTTTCACAGTGAAAGTAAAGAAAATGTTTTATGAGCACTTTGCAGTGGAGTCCGTGCCCGAATTTAAGTTATAGTTTACTGCCGGCGAAATTAAAAGATCAGTCTAATGTTCATATAAACTTTTCAAATATTGGCGTTGAGAAACTATTTAATACTTTTGTATTGAGATAATAAAATAATTTTCACATTTAGTATTATTTTACAAGAAAGGCACTTTATTTTAACGATTGTATGTCATTCGACAACTGTCAACTAACTTAAAACTAACTTCAGCCCGTGACTAAAAACCTGTTGCTAACTTCAGCCCGTGACTAAAGCGCCATAAGGCCACAACTTGTCGATGTTCATTTAAAAGGTCACTTAGTGTCTTGGAAATATGTATGATAAAGGGCGTTTTAAAGGTGGGAGTAAAAAAATATGTTTTTATAGTTTGTTCATACGTTCCGTACATTTCATGACAGATGTCAAAATATCGGTAATACAGCTATGCTGAATTATCGGCATCTTCAAATTTTAAACTTGACTTTAAACTGGACCTATACATTGTACAGAATATAGCACATACAGATTGCAGAGTAGAGAATAAGGTTAATGCCATTATAAACCAGCCATAACGCCATCTAGTGACAAAAACATTGTGTTACCAACTGAATGTAAAAACAAATATTTTTATCGGTAAAATAATAAAAAAATTGCTCAACTTATGTATGGTATATTCAAAATCAACTAATAAAAGATTTTGGTGGCATATCGAGTCATTAAATAATTACTGAAATTTCAGACAGCAAAGTTGAATGTTTTCATAACAAGAAAGAAATAGAAAAAAATATATTATCAAATTATTTTAGTAAAGTGTTCTGTTTGAAACCTTTTCTGTAGAGCGTTTAATTCTCTACAAAAATAACTTATGGAAAATCGAAAAGTGCGATATTAAAATTAAGAGCTCATATTTTACAGGCTCATTTTTATACCTAAACGAAATTTTTGAGCATGTTTGCAAAAAAAATAATTTGCTTTTTTTTAAACACGCTATTTTATACAGAAACAGATCCATTCACTTTTAGAGTATTTGTTCCAGGAAAGATAGTCTGTATCATTAAAATAAAAATTGTTTTGAGTTAAATTTCAAAATTTACTCTCTTAAAATGAATTAGTCATATTTGACTAATTGTCATAGCGAAAAAGCAGTCACTAATAAATAGTAAAATTCTACTGAATGAAATATAAATTAGTATATTAAAATTTAAAAAAGTTTTGACCCAGTCGGGGATTGAACTTAGGTCTGTCACTTGTCAAGCTGTGGTCATAACCAATGTGGCTATCAGTCGCTCTTATAAAAACAATTTTATTTGTCAATAAATATTGTTGATAATATTTTAATATTTTATTAGTAAAAAATGCTGGTACTAATTCAAATAGTAGAATTTTGACTATTTCATTTTAAGAGAGTACACACTTCAAATTTTAAAGAATTTCAATTTATTAATGTGTTCTTATTGAGACACCCTTACCTTAATTTTGCCGCTTCCATATTTATACATTGTTATAATTGGTCCAGAAGTGGAACCTTGCGGTGCGCTTTATTTTATTAAAATTGAGAAATTTAATGAAACCGGATAAGTTTTTCGAACGTTAGAACGTCTTACGTAATAAATTAGTTGCACTCTGTTACTTTTTAAATTCGATACCGCATAAAAACCTTAATCAAGTCCATTCTCCCCTATTTTGATTACATTTTTCCCTTGTTCAATGCATCCTAATGAGGCTTTTATGTAATCCAACGTGAATTATGTTGTTAACTTGAAACGACACGGGGCAAAATTACGCACAAATCACTTGTTACCGTAAAAACCGTGCTGGAGGTACTAAATTAACAAACTCGGACTGCCACTCTTCAACCACCTCACTTTCACAGACAAATATGTCGAAATGTGTGTAAAACAATACGCGTGCCGTTTCAATTTCACATGTTGGTTGTTACGTCTTACGGACGACTTTTAGACTAAAAGTTTTAGTTTGGTACTGCTCGAGTATTGTTCAAGTTGGTACACTGCTGCGCTAGGAGGGACTAAGGAAGATCCAAGATAGCGCCGAATTACTATGGAAACGGAAGCTTATTGGTGCGAAAAGTCATGGTTCAGGTGACTCACGAACAATAGGAAGCACTTTGTTTTAGTCGCAATGCGATTATTAACAATCACAGGTGGATTTATTGGCGCACATTAGTACTTACTGTTTTAGACAGGTTAATTTTTAAAACGGTTTTTTAGTAGGTATATTTTTTTGTATTTAGGTACTTTTTTAAGTCTATTAAATATCATCCCAAATACAGAGCTTGATTCTATAGGTATACCTACCTACCACTATAGTGGTTATACATATATAGTGATTATATATAATTATTAAGCAGTATCTACCCAAGTAGCACAACTGGTTAAATTAAAGTCAAATTTACGTTATGCCTGGTTAATTTATTTAAGTAATATTTTACTCCAAAGTTAAATTAATCTTAAATTATCCTTTATTTTATAATAAGTGGGGAATTCAATTATGGCAAAATAAACGTTATATTAGTTAAATTTAACTTCTTGGTTAATTTACCTTTTGGTTAAAAACGACCTTAGTAAAAAATCGTTAGTTTTTGAGATATAGTCATTTTTATGAATTCTGTAAAACTTTACACCTTAGATCAGTTTTTCAAGTGCCACAGCTACAAAATCTACTATTAATTTAATTTTGAATTCTAATTAATAGCAGTCCTATTCAGGGTTATGCAAAATAAAATATAATCTAAAAATATAGAATGTATAGTTGTGGCACTCGAAAAACTGATTTTATGAGTTAAGTTTCACAAAATTCATAAAAATGCCAATACCTTAAAAACTATTGATTTTTTACTAAGGTCATGTTTTGTGTTATGATTAGTCATGAGCTGACCTATTAGTCCTTCAAAGGATATCGTTGACTTTTGGGACAACCTGTATATATATATATATATATATATCAATTGATATCTTAAAGACTTTATTTACCTATCGGTAATTTATAACTCTTTGATTTTGTTTAAATTCGGTTAATGTAACACAATATAGTTAATAATTACCAAAAATAGTTAATTAAACTAACTTGTTATTTTTAAAATAACTAACCTAAAAAAAAGTCCCACCGATTTTTATAAAACGCATCTGTTCTGTTATAAAACCTATAGATGCTTACCAAATTAATTAGATGAATTCTTCTATATAGTAAGTTGAAGAAAGTTTATGTTTTTTAAATTATTTCTTTTAGGCTTCATTATCACACAAAACTAACAACCTAAATGTTTATATATAAAGTGGTTTTGAGGCTAATTTTTTATGCAAATGCAATGAAAACTGCAAAACCATCACTTTTTTAGTCAGTTTATTAATTTACGTTAATTTACCAGCGAGTTAAAATATAGTTGGTAAAATATAACTTGTTGGTTAAAAAATATATCCAAATTAACCAGAGTAAACAAAAATATGTCTAAAAAAATAGTCTTAACCATTTTCAAAGGTTAAATTAGAAGTAATAAAACGTTATGTAACTTCTAAAATAACCTACGTGAACCTAAAAGTAATATTACTAACTAAATAAATATTTGGTTTATTTATAGTAAATTTAAACTAGTAGTAATTACTGTATGTCTAAATGATATATTTAGTGTCTCCAAAAGTAGTATTGAGTCATGTGGGTCGATTAATCAATTTTATTTGATAAGAATTTGAATAACTCACATTTATTATATAAAA